TTACATAATGGGACCCAACCAGAATCACCTATACACAATTATTTAGATTGGCATTGGCATTCTAGTGTCTCATGTTAAAATTACTTAAAATCTTTTCTTCAAACCGAAGTTCGAAGCCTTTTATTTAAGCTCTTACTATTACATTAACTACGGTAGCAAATTGTAGCAAAAGTTTTTCCAAATATACCAAAGTTCGTGAATCGTGATGCAACATGGATTTTCGCAAAACATCCTATTCTGACAGCTCTCGTGGCTCAATATGTTCGTAGTTTATTTACAAACAGTTATTATTTATTTGACTAAATTATACCTTTTATAATGGGTATGATAGTTTTCTTCTTCGCGTGATATTCTTTATTCTTCGACAGCTTTCTTATCCTGCTCTTCCAAGCCTTTTGTGATTTTGTGAATTGCTTTAATTTTGATTTCAATAGTGCGTTTGATGTTATATTGTTGTCGAAGTGGTGTTGGTACTTGTCTTGTCTATGTTTGGTATAACCCTTTTGTTCCTTTAGTGTCTTCTGTATCTTATCATGACCACGAAGGAATGTCCAAAATATAAAACAGGAAAATAGAAACAATGCTATCCTTCGACGTTTTCCGAAAATAATTTTCATATTGATTGCATTTATAAAATTTTAAGTCTGAATGGATGTCGGATAATACACCATTTTCTTGTCGGATCCACTTATTAGTGTCGGAATTCGGATTATACAGAATGTCTCAGTAGACGAGAAGGAAATAAATGGCTAAAAAATAATGCTGGATTCTTCAGATTGTCGTGATAATCTTGTAGAATTGAAGCTTAAAATGTACAGATTAGTAAATGCCGCCATTATGTTTTTTCTGTTCCCGAAAATTAGCCTATGGAGTTCTGAAAGCAATTGCTCGGACTGTTTAGTTATTAGTATTATGTACACTAGCTTTTTCCAACACGATTATGATATAATTATGGTGATCATTTTGACGACTAAATAAGACATTTTGACAAATGATAATAAAATTGAATTGCACTGTATTATTCTGGCAAAATCTAGACGCACAATGATTTTAACAAAATGCATACAGTTAGAGATATGATACGCAAACCGTTATCTTGTCACATGTATATCTGTCACATAGATTTTTCATAATCTGATATTTGATAGTTGAGTAGACGAAATATACTAATCCCATAACACAAAGAAATCAGATCTATTCTTTTCAAAATACTTGAAATCCATAAACAGACAATAGTAAATCACACTTGTTCACAACGAAATGATTAGTCCTATGTAGCTAGTTCTGTATATATACGTTGCGTTATAGTCATCGTCCAACCATTAACTCTATCACTACATTTCATGTCGATATATTGTAAGGTATCATATCGTGCGTATCCTGGTATCATAAACTTTTTTTTTAAAGATCAGAATCAATCAAACCCAATAACTAGAACTTTTACTCTTGTCTCAAGTAAGAATTAAAATTAAATTTAAATCGTAGTCCGAAACATGTGACTTTGCTTTGGCCCTGTTGAAAATGATCAGTCGTTGGATTAAGTCGACCTCTTCACACGACTGAAACATCACATCTGCCGGTATAGATACCCGTGTTGAACTTTTTAATGACAAAATTGAATCTTAAACAGACAACCTGACCAATCTGCAAACATCCATTATTCATGTTGATGTATGTATTTATACTTTTAGCAACGCAATGATATTCCTATAGCATCGGTAAGCGTACATTATTGATTTTTCGGCTGTGAAGCATTTATTTGAAAAACTTCATAAAACGTTTTACTTTGTATATACAATAAGCAGTTTTCTGAATTCTTAATAACCGTTACGTATCTATCCGGATATACCTCAAAATGCAACATTTTCAACGAAAATTCAGCGGAAACCATTGTAGCTATGTAAATAAGTAACGGACTTATAGTGCTCTAGTAAAGGTACAAAAAGATCAATACTTATTGTTTACAAATCGGTCTTTGAACAGTATTTATTTAATAATTCTACGCTATAATCAATGTATTTCTGACACCAGATGGGAAATGATTTAACACGTGTTAAACATGTAATGAAATCTTAAAACGTTGTTTAAAACTGGATTTACAAACGAAATGCAAATGAATATGATTTGTGGTTCGATACAGTAATCAAACTTGTAAAACTATTTTGTTGTTATACTAGAAATCATTACAAAATCATATTTCCATCCTACAACATAAACCATTCTAAAAGCCGAAAATCAATTACATGAATTAAAAAGTTGAGAAATCCGTAGTTTATTGTACAATAATCTATAAGTCAAGACGATATAGTTGACTTTACTGATGCAAAATACTTAACTTATTTTCGAAAGCGATAGTTTGAATGTTGAGTTTAAAATTGTTGTAAAATGAAGTTAAAGAGTTTTGTGGCTTGTGAAAGGTTGGAAATATGGCCCTGTTACCAAGGTGGACTTATAGCCTTGGCTTTTCCGCTGTTCAACTTTATATATCTGGCTGATCAGTTTATTTCAACTGAATCAGCTTTAGTAAAATAATGTTATAATGTAATAAAGTTATGTTTTCCAATTTGTGAAATGCATTGCGTTTTTTTTTTTGATTATTTAAGAACTTTATTTGGTTATAACTTTATCACAGATGGTCCTTTTTTTAAAAAAATATTCAGTGTGATTTAATATTATAATATCGAAAATATGTTTGAAATATGACAATAAAACGATTTCACCATATTTCGTCAAAATACGCAAAGGATTCTCCCTTGTGGAGTTTTTACTAGAAATTGTGGACGGACAATCGGAATGAAGATAAGGACTAAGAGATAACAGAAAGAAGATAGTAGTAACAAGAGATAACAACCAAAAAGAAACAGGTGCTATTAAGAGATAACAAAAACATGGGGACACCAGGTGATAACAGAAAAATATGGATGGGGTACCAAGAGATAATAGAAAAACAGCTGGAGATACCCGAACATATACTTTAATTAACGAATTCTTTTGTATGTACAATATTTTAATATAATCTTATATAAAACCATATCATGTATTTGACAATGACCATATCAATATTATAGATGGTCAAAACAAATCCGTACCAGCTAGACAATTCCGTTAATCAAAATCTCGTCCAAAGCATTGGAAAATCAAGAGTAAATATATTATGACCCCACCAAAGATGTTTCGAAAAGAGTAAGCATGTTCTGCTTCGTTCGACAACCAGCACAACTACATAGGTCAATCTTGGTCCTTGTAAAAGTCTCACATCACATTCAGATACTCACACACAATTTGGCAACAAAACCACTAGGGCATTCGATAGAAACGAATGACTCTCTAAATAATAATAAGCCTGCATCATATTGCTTGATGACAAGGAATAAAGTCCAGTTAAGGATAACATATGTTGTATAGATGATTGGCACAATACAGCCTTAAGTTTAGCCTTTGGTTTAAATCAAATTACATCTTATTCATAACGACACTTTCGATCTTTATGTGTGATTAGTTTATGTTTGTAAACACAATAACATAAATTTTCCATATGTACAGTAGCTTATTTCTTAGATTTCCATCCATACAGTATCCAATGAAACAGGTCCCTTACAGGATCAGTTCTGTTTGCTGAAAAGGAAGAGACCATGTAAGGACATGGCAAATGACTGAACGCAACATATGGAAGACAGAGATCAGATAGATAATAAACGGGTCTGTCATATGCTGGTATAAGACCAACTGAAACCCAGTTTGTTTTCGTAGAATGTTGAAATTATTTCCATGATTATATCATGGTAACAATCATGGTCACAAATGGTCGGTGTAGGTTGTAATTTTGGTCAGATGTCAAAAGTCTGGGAATTTGAATACGTCATCTCTCCTCATAATTACAGACAGTCTAGCTTGTATTGGGAAAGAGCAATTCAAAGATGTTTGGCCAAGAGATTGGTTCAAGAATCAACTGGTAAAGATGGTCCATGAGAACCAGAGTATCCTATAATTACTTACGATTTATGTTTAATTTTTGAAGTAGCTGCCGAGCTTCAGGAATCTGATCCATGACTTGAATTAAATTGGTTGATTCTACTCTCGGTAAATTGATATTATGGTAAATATATAAAGTGTTATCAAAAGTAGCATACACAAAACATGGTCGATTGCCACCATCGCCTAAACTATAAAACCCTGAAATACCACACACACGTTAATAAACCACTAATATTGCATTTTTAGAAGTCTATGGTCCTTTTATAACTTCACCATGGTAAAAACTGCCTTTTTGAAAGTGATAAAACACTTTTATTCAAATTGAAAGAATCACAGTTGCCTGAAAATTTGAATAAGGTAAATTAATTTGGTGTCAGCAATATATATAGAAATATCATCACAATCGTTTTAAACCAAGTACCTGCTGAAAAGGCTGCAACATGTTCTTGAAATAAATATCGAACCACTTCTCTACTTTGGTTAACTATATAGGTCTGGCCGTCCCATGAACAGCACACCACTTCCTCTTGCCCATTTCCCTATTCAATGTAATAGAAAAAAAATGCATAAGGAGCTAGATAAAGAAACTTACAATAACATTCCCAGACAAGCCGTTTTAAGTAAAAAAAAAAAGTGCATTATACACGCAAATATACGGTACATGTAAAGTTGAGTATATAACTTAACTTTGATAAAGACGACTACAAGCCAATTACGTGTATTTTATTTCCTATAGAGTAACAGTTACATTTTAAGCTTTTGTTTAACTGTAGGGAAACCTGATCATAATCTTATACTGCAATGGAGCTCTCTAATATGGCAAAATATGGATTAGAAAGTATGCTTACTGTAACATCTAATTTACATAGTGAAAAAAGTTGATGATCCACTTGTAAAGACCATAAAATTTTATCATTTTCAGCTAATACTAAATTACCTTGAATATAAAATTCAACACATATCAAAATTATTACTGATATTCATAATTTTACACAAGAAAAGCAGTTATCTCCCTTAACAATCAAAAATTATCAAATGTTTCATTTATCTACATAGATATTTGTATCATGAATACAACTATTTTTTGGTTAGACTGAATCCATTTTTTTCTAATGAAGGGGCCTACATGTTTTTTATTTTCACAAATAATTCGTCAGGCATTTCAGATACATAATATATAGCAAATTAATGCTAGGTATTGCCAATTATGCTATAATACATAAATCATGTATCATGCTATAAGGGCTATGTATACATGTATCGCAATATGCGGTAGCAGATAAAAGTAACATTTTCTTCAAAGTTTCAATAATTTATTTACTATTGTGTTTTTTTCAGATAATGACACCAAAATATTTCTATTGAATAATTGCCAATATCACAAATGTAACTTTTACTCTGCTTCCTTCTGAATTTGAATGATGTTTAGTTATGTGCTTACGTAATTGTCTGACTTTGAATCACTGAATGCCTCAAGTAAATGGTCAAACGACCATCGGGCATGTTGGATGGATGTTTTTGGATGTAAAATTTAAGGATTGATTTTTGCTTATACAGCAAGAAATTTAGTGAAGATGCATAGCTTTTAAAAAATGCTTATTGACGTACCATCCAGTGTTGCCACAGCGTAATACGTTTGGCATGAGTCATTGACAGCATCGTCAGAAGATACACCTGGTGTTATATTTCCTACCATTACTGTTGACATATCACGATTCTTAGCACGACTTAATCCTAATGGATGGTATAATAAAAATGTATCACTGAAATATATTCAGAACATGTATCTATTACAACTGTTGATATATCATAATTGTTAAAAAGACTTAATCCTAATGGATGATATAATAAAAATGTATCACTGAACTAAATTCGAAACATGTATCTATTAAAACTGTTGATATATCATAAGTTTTAAATAGACTTAATCCTAGTGGATGGTATAATAAAAATGTATCACTGAAATATATATTCGAAACATGTATCCATTACAACTGTTGATATATCATAATTGTTAAAAAGACTTAATAATGGATGGTATAATAAAAATGTATCACTGAAATATATTCGGAACATGTATCCATTACAACTGTTGATATATCATAATTGTTAAAAAGACTTAATCCTAATGGATGGTATATTAAAAATGTATCACTGAAATAAATTCGAAACATGCATCCATTACAACTGTTGATATATCATAATTGTTCAAAAGACTTAATCCTAATGGATGGTATAATAAAAATGTATCACTGAAATATATTCGGAACATGTATCCATTACAACTGTTGATATATCATAATTGTTAAAAAGACTTAATCCTAATGGATGGTGTAATAAAAATGTATAACTGAAATATATATTCGAAACATGTATCCATTAAAACTGTTGATATATCATAATTGTTAAAAAGACTTAATCCTAATGGATGGTATAATAAAAATGTATCACTGAAATAAATTCGAAACATGTATCCATTAAAACTGTTGATATATCATAATTGTTAAAAAGACTTAATCCTAATGGAAGGTATAATAAAAATGTATCACTGAAATAAATTCGAAACATGTATCCATTACAACTGTTGATATATCATAATTGTTAAAAAGACTTAATCCTAATGGATGGTATAATAAAAATGTATCACTGAAATATATATTCGAAAAATGTATCCATTAAAACTGTTGATATATCATAATTGTTAAAAAGACTTAATCCTAATGGATGGTATAATAAAAATGTATCATTGAAATAAATTCGAAACATGTATCCATTACAACTGTTGATATATCATAATTGTTAAAAAGACTTAATAATGGATGGTATAATAAAAATGTATCACTGAAATATATTCGGAACATGTATCCATTACAACTGTTGATATATCATAATTGTTAAAAAGACTTAATCCTAATGGATGGTATATTAAAAATGTATCACTGAAATAAATTCGAAACATGCATCCATTACAACTGTTGATATATCATAATTGTTCAAAAGACTTAATCCTAATGGATGGTATAATAAAAATGTATCACTGAAATATATTCGGAACATGTATCCATTACAACTGTTGATATATCATAATTGTTAAAAAGACTTAATCCTAGTGGATAGTATAATAAAAATGTATCACTGAAATATATTCGGAACATTTATCCATTACAACTGTTGATATATCATAATTTTTATTGATATTTTTGTGTGATAATTCGGTATATTTATTTATTACATACCATTAGGCCAATTACTAGCTAGTGGACAAAAATTCCTATACAGGATCCTTAAAGGGACAGATGTGCCATTTTGGGGGGGATTGATTTTAGTCTTGAATATATGTACAAGTCTTCAGAAGTACTAGAAATGTACGGAAATCACATAATTCCTTTAAAAATGCTGCCACACTGAGTTCTAAATTGAATTTTTTCTCTCATGTCACAAATATTCAAAATATGATTTTCAAGTGCATACCAACTGTCTCTCCAAGAAATTTCATGTGAAAATGACACACATTTTGAACTGAAAATCTCCCTCTGCAAAGTCATAGTTTCAAATAATTTTGTTTTCAATGGTTGGCTTTAGGGTCTTATGTCCAAGTCCAAACACTTTATAGCATCAAAACTTAACTACTCAGGAGGCAGAGCAGGCTCACTCTATTGGAATATATGATGCCACCCTGCAACTGGGTTGTCAACTTTGCATCCATTTCAGAGAGTTCACATACCTACCTATTTTCCTGACTGTGGGTTGTAGTCTGATTTTTATGGAGTATTTGACTGTGGTGGGTTTCTGTTTTGTCAGGACTAACAGATTTACCATCCTTTGTAGAATCTACATTAGAGTTACTGCTCTTGGATTTCAGTGGTTGGTGGTTATTGCCCTTGTTATGCGGTAATAATATGACTAGAGTACCACCTGGTTGTGAAGCCATTAATTGTGGTTCACCATTCAAAGATCTGTTCATTGTTATGGATTCAGTCTAAAGAACAAAATCAAGGTATTCAGATGTCAATTTAATTTCATTTTAAAAACTTTTAATTTAATGCAGTATCAAATATTAATATCATTCTTGCTTATGCCAATTCTCTCAGAATGGCTTTGCATTGATAAAAAAAATATAACATTAGCATACATTATCATTTTGAAATTTGTTTTTACAGAAGACAATTTTCAGCCCAAATTTGTTTTTCCTACCTGGCCAGCTAACTGCCATTTTTGTACAGAGACAAGATGTCCTGTAGAATAGTAGTCTATATCTGATGTGTTAGAACCAGGTTGCCATCGGAAAGATCTGACAACACGATCTGAATATCCTACTATTAACTCAATCTTTCCATCAGTATCTATAATAGACAGAAAATCTTTATAATAGACAGAAAATCTTTCATCAGTATTTATAACAGACAGAAAATCTTTATAATAGACAGAAAATCTTCCATCAGTATTTATAATAGACAGAAAATCTTTATAATACACAGAAAATCTTTCATCAGTATTTATAACAGACAGAAAATCTTTATAATACACAGAAAATCTTCCATCAGTATCTATAATAGACAGAAAATCTTTATAATACACAGAAAATCTTTCATCAGTATTTATAACAGACAGAAAATCTTTATAATAGACAGAAAATCTTTTATCAGTATTTTAAACAGACAGAAAATCTCCCATCAGTATCTATAATAGACAGACAATCTTTATAATAGACAGAAAATCTTCCACCAGTATCTAAAATAGACAGAAATCTTTATAATAGACAAAAAATCTTCCATCAGTATTTATAATAGACAGAAAATCTTTATAATAGACAGAAAATCTTTCCATCAGTATCTATGATAGACAGAAAATTTTCCATCAGTATTTGAAATAGACAGAAAATCTTTCCATCAGTAACTATAATAGACAGAAATCTTTAGAAAATCTTTCCATCAGTATCTATAAAAGACAGAAAATCTTTCCAACACTATCTTTCAAGCATGCCAATTTTTGGGTAACTATGGACAACAAAATTGTTCAGGTTCCAATGATTAAAAGTGTACAGCATTTAATAAACATATCTTACCTGCATCAGCAATCAATAAAACTTTCCCATTGGCTGGTAAATCTTGTTTATAAGCTGGTTTTAATGTTTTGTCCTCGTCAGTTAAAGGAGTCTATCGAATCAAAAAATAATTCTAGTGAGCCGATGAAAAAATCCAATTCATAATTTATTCTCTGTTTAGATTTTGAAAATAAATTAGCCATAAGCAAAATCGATACTTAACGAAACCTTTCATTCCATAAAAAAGTGGAGATATTTATAAGCTGGTTTATGATATAACAATTTTTTTTAATACTTTAATACTTTTTATAAGACAGTGGACACTAACCACTTCTGTATTACTATATTACCAAATATCATCATTATAAAGTTATGAAAAAATTGAGGGTAAAATGTTAATTTTTATCCCATTAACCCATATCAGGATATGTATCGTATATCATATATCGTATTGCAATATACGTATCGTGGCGTGATTGACAATACCCAGCACAATAGATAAATATATAATGACAAAATAATAAAAAGCCAAAATACCATATATTTTGCCAAAAAGTTTTACTCAATTGAGATAAAGCCAAAAGACAGATTAAGATTCAGCCTACCTCTCCTTCAGCTTTCACACCAAATAAATAACACCATCCTTCAGCAGTTAGAGTTACTAGCACATTCTATAAAGTAAAAAAGGTGTCAAGTAATAAATAAAATTTGCACAAAACAGTGTTGTAACAGTGTTTGTAATTTATCTTAACTATAGTTCTTGGGTTGTGTACATTATAGATCCAGGACTGTACTTAAATGGGAACGACTAGTTCAGCAATATGCTGAGCAGTGTGCATATCAAATTTGCATCATCCCACTGTTCACACCAATGCCTCCAGTCCAACAAGTGGAGACATTGAATGATATGAAATCCAAATCGAGTTTTAAATCCTTTCCTGCTCCAGATTGAGCTCATGATGACTACACCATGCAGAAAGTCATGAGGTAAATTTGCTAGAGCAGCATCATAAATAAACCCACTTTTTTTAAATCTTCAACTGTTGAAATTCATTCCTAATTGCAGTAAATAGACTGTCAAGAATGTGACAATTTACAAAACAAAGAAAATCTGACCTTGTTCTGATTACATACATCTCCAACACCTAAACATGTTATCTAAAGTAAATAAGAGAAAAATTCAATCTTTGCGAAAAAAAATAATCTTGCAAAGTTTATGTAATAGCTTAGGAAACAACTTTGAGGCGTTTTGAGCCATCATGAATTAATTTTATATTATCCATGAAAAATATTGCACAAAATAATAATATGATTTGCATATAGAACCTGATAAACCTTATAAGCTGATTTTTAACATGTTAAAAGGGATTGTATTGAGGATTTCTAAATTTTTCATCAATTTGCTTGTATCACGTAGACCTAAGCTTAAGGCCTTTGCCTTTTGATTTTTGACATTAAGCCAACATAAGAAAAATTAGTGATGTACCAGTACCAAGATATTTAAAGCTTTGAAGAAGAGACATTTCAAAACTTACCATTCCAAGATCTGAACTCTTCTTACATGATGTTGGGTTACTGCCCTTGAATATAGCCAAATCACCATCAACATTGCCAACTATCAATTCATTTTTCTGAATGAAAATGAAATGAATAAATCAAATAAACTATAAAGTACTAGTGTCATATCCTAATACTCAATATCAAAGTTGAATATCATTGGCTAAGTTGAGAGAACAAACTATAAAGTTGATAAAAATAGCTCAAAGGAGAAACACTGGGCCAGGCCCATGGGAGCTCCACTTGTACAACATTGTAGGCTACAGATCACTGGGCACATAACGATGACAGTTTACAACCTATGCAACTTGACTCAACAAGTTTCAGACTATGGCCAGGGTTAATGCATAAAAATGAGTTGACCAGCTCTTTTTTCTTCTATCTGACTGAAAATGAAACATTATTATTGTATAACCCTGCGCAATCTCTTGCCTGATCATTATCAACATCAGCTAGCGCCACTGCTTGGTTGAATAAAGTTCCTTTAAATTCTACTTCTATTCTGTCAACAAATGAAACAGTTCTCCACATTTTCAACAAAATAATTTACTTTCACTTTATTCAGGGGACAGAACTCATCTGAAATATCCGACAACAACAATTTCAGTAAACAGATTTTACTTTATTCAAGGGACATAACTCGTCTCAAATATTTACACCAGACAACAACAATTTCAGGAAAACATATTTTACTTTATTCAAGGGATATAACTCCTCTCAAATATTTACACCAGACATCAATAACTCCAGGAAATATTCTGATCTATTTAACGGTTTATAGGCACAGCTTTATGGAACAACAATCACTGGTTAAAGTTTTATGCAACGTTTCGACGTGTTTCCCCCGTCGTCCTCAGGCACATAATGAGAAGAAGTGATGCGCAAACTATATATCGTCGGTGAAGTTTTAAAAATGGAGATGTGGCAAATCAACTCATAAACAAGCTTGAAAAGAGTGAGGGTAAACTAATCCAAACATGTAATAATTTAACATTTTTATTGAGATGCAGGGACAATAAGCTTATCAATAAACCATTTATCTCTTGTGTGTTCTTAATAATAAGCATTAATGTATATACAGTTTGCCCATCACTTCTTCTCATTATGTGCCTGAGGACGACGGGAGAAACACGTCGAAACGTTGCATAAAACTTTAACCAGTGATTGTTGTTCCATAAAGCTGTGCCTATATATCGTACTCACAATTGCTAAATGCCATTCAGAGACTTTAATTAACGGTTAATGAAAAATATTTTGTCTTCTTGTCTTTAAATCATCAAGGTCGATTTTTACAGCCCCTTTTTATGTAATTTGATTTTTGATGGGAACTTCAATAACTAAACTCTGTTTCGTTCATATACTGATGACAATACTGTATTGATTGTTTAAATGTTTTCTCTTTTTTTGCAGAAGTTATGTATGGAAACCGGTTGCGGCCGCGATAAAGCGAGGGAAATGGCGAGAAAGCGAGGGTAAAAAAGGCGAGGAAAAGGGCGAGAAAGTGAGGAAAAGGATAAGGAAAAGGCGATTAGTAATTCAGAGTTCCACCTCACCATTCTTGATCGAATGCTTCAATAAGCGTCTAACTCTATATTGAAAAAACGGTTTTTGGTCATAACTACCACTTATGACCTTATAGTTCTATGACATCGCGTAGTCAAATAAGTGAATAATGTCGATGTAATATTGGACTTAAAGAGTCAATATTGTTCTAAAGTTCTCGTCTATTCTATTGACAATGTATAGAAAACTTAAAACATCAGTCAATGTAAATATAGCCCAACTATATCTTTCTATCTTGGCTATTTAACAGACAAGATATAGGTAAATAAAAGCCTTTAATAAATGTAACGTAAATATTATCTTTACAGTAAAGCACTTTGAAGGGATTTGGTAGGGATTTCGGCCTTGATATTCATTAGGTCTATTTGATAGATGGGCAATGAAGACATCGATATTGGTATGTGAATCGCATAATGCACCAATTTGATCTGATTTTCAGTAGTTCAGCCAATCTAATTAAAATTAGACCCAACTTTCGTTCCGTTTTTTTATTTGCTTTTATTTTCAATATAGTCACTTCAGTTAGAGTCTAAAGACAGTATTTTTGAATAGTCGCCAGTTTGATGATACCGTCAGCTAATCAAATTCCTGTCCTTTCCAATACTGGTATTTTTTGACGCGAACAAAAGGTATATTCTGAGAAGCATACGACACTTAAGGTACTTTTTGTTCGCGTCATAAAATCCCAGCGCCGGAGATGTCAGCCTACTCCAATCTTATTTAACTCAAATACTATTTGGGTAGCTTCCAAATATGAGTTTCACGGACCTTACCCATTTGAGATGTCAAAAATTCAACTACAAAATGTCATGTGTTCAGATTTATGATGAATGGCGGTGACAATAATATGTACATGTAAATGAATTATAATGAAATTTTAATAAAAAATAAGAATTCAAACTATATATAACTAATATATAAACCCCAACAAAATAATAAGAACGCATTTCGAGGCGAGACCAGGAATAAAAACGTTATGTCACACACAGATCTATAATAAAAGCAAATACGTAGATTTAAACTTGTAAAGTAGAGCACTGTTGTCATGGAATGAATTATTCAATACATCAACAGATTGTGTAATATAAATTCAACCACATAGAAATTCACATTCTCGTGATTCGCAGTAAATATTGCGAAATGTCCTTTTTCTAAAAGAGGGACAGTGGGATATTAAATAACAGGCTATGATCTGTTTCTTTTTTGGACGTGTTAGTCAATTTAAAGTTGGGATCCCACACCCAATAAACATCACATCTAATTTAAAATGCGTGTATACAGATGTATGTACAATGATGAAATGAACCAAAAAATGTTTTTTAGACTTTCAACAGGCCTTCAAATTAGCTACAAATATTGTTGATGTTGGTGGGGATTACGTGACTAACGAGGACAGGTAAAAAGCTGATGAAAAAAATCTGATGATAAAGCTTAGCGTTATCCCTTGCCCGGAGGGGCGTACTCCCCCATGTCACTCTTATTCCTACAAACAAAGTCTATAGGCGTGCATCCATGGAAATCGTTCCTCAATAGTAAATCGAATACCATGTTAAATCACGAAATTCAATCTTCTATAACATTTCCCCGAAATCTCTTTGAAAACTTCTTCTACATAGCCAAACCTAGATATTACACAGCCAAGAAATTGGCCCTTGACAGATTATCAGATAACGACATAAACACACAACCAGCAATCGTTAATCGGATATCAAGATAAAACCTAAATGCACAACCACGAAATTCGCCCCTGATAGATAATCGGATATCAGAAATTCGTTCCTGATAGACAATGAGGTATTAAGATAAAACCTTAACGCAAAACCAAAAAATTCGAACCTGGTAGATAATCGAATATCGTGATTAAACCTATACATGCACAACCACGAACTTCGTTCCCTAGTAGAAATCGGATAATCAGATAAAACCTAAAGGCGCAACCAACAAATTCGCCCCTGGTAGATAATCAGAAAACAGGATAAAACCCTAAGGGCACAATCAACAATTTCGTCCCTTATACTTCACCGATTATCAAGATAAAACCTTATGGCTGAACCGAGAAATTCGAACCTGATGGATAATCAGATAACAGGATAAAACCTTAACGCACAACCAACAAATTCGTCCAATTTGCCCAAGAAAGATAATATAATCAAGATAAGGCCTATACCCACAACCGAGAAATTTGCCCAAGATAGATAATCTAATCCGGAAAAAGGCTAGACCCACAAACAGAAAATTCGCCCAAAATAGATAATCGAATCCAGATAAAGTCTAGACCCACAACCACGAAATTTGCCCAAGAAAGATAATCGAATCCAGATAAAGTCTAAACTGCACAACCACGAAATTTTCCCAAGATAGATAATCGAATCCAGATAAAGTCTCGACCCACAAACAGAAAATTCACCCAAAATAGATAATCGAATCCAGATAAAGTCTAGATCCACAAACAGAAAATTCACCCAAAATAGATAACCGAATCCAGATAAAATCAACAAGAAATAGTTAGTAATCGATACAGATTTTATCTTTGAAATCGAATATTGTGTCGGCTATTAAAATGTATTAACATTGAATCTATTAGTAATTGTTTCTCAATCAAATGAGAATGTAATCGTTTAATGTAAGGAAACAGGAAAGTATTATTCATAATGGAAATTTCTTTCTTTTTCAAACCGGATTTAAACCTCTACAAAAATTATTTGCTTAAAGAAAATATTGAACCCATCACATGATGGTTTATCATTATAACAAAGTATTGAAATACGGTTAAATTTAGATCAAGGCTAAGATAGGTAGTCTTTATTCGTTACATGATGGTTGACTTGAAAATGGGCCGTAATATGTATGTTGCAATGTGAGTAAATATTTTTTTTTTACTGATAAACTGTATATATTAATCAGTTATTCCTGCAAATAACAATAATAGTCTTGTATCTGTTTTTCCCTGGTCTGTGCTGTCGTAATTTAAATTATATATGTTTTTCACCGACACTCTCAATGAACATTTTCAAATTATTATTAGCATGGCTAATGTGTATTTTAAAGTTTTAAATTGGTTTACTAGTCAAATGATTACGTGTTTGTTTAAGCTGGTATTTTGTCAGTGACAAAATGTCGATCGAGTTATTGTTTTAAACAAAACCTGTTTAAGCTTGTATTTTTATTTAAATTTAAAAAGTCAGAAATATGGATCGAATTATTGTTTAACGAAAAACCCTGTTAAATCTATGTATAATTCAAATACGAATTGGGATGTTAGTTAGTTAGTTTAGTGGGTTTTTTTTTGTGTGACTCTATATGTCATTCATGATCTGATGAAACTTTCCTGCATCTCATCTTCGAGGTATAATATATTCTACCAATCAAATGATGTTTTCTATATAAAAATATCAAATATGACGAATTCTAGTATAAGCCTATTCACCGTAAAACATTGTTTTGTAATGCTTGCACACTTCCAACAGTGTTTTCGGTTGCTTAACAGTTGACATATTAGTTATGAAGCTATTGGGTCATGAATCTACCGAACATGATTTAAAGGCGAAGTTTGTCACATAATGCATGGCAAATGTAGTAACAGAAAAAAAAACACAATACGCAACACACTGATCTGCATTTCAATCGAATTTACACTGGTTGCAGGGACATCTTAAAAGGGTTAATGGATTATAGTTCATCGATTCACACGCCCTTTTCTATTATACACGTATAGTTAAATCCTTTCAGAAATAAATCTTGACAAGCCGTACTGAATTTCATTAGGATATACAAACCCGTCTTAAACGTAAAGATTTTGTTTTTTAACTTTTAATGTGTATCGGAGACATTGTAACCACATTTTGCACCATATCAATTTTTAGTCAGACGTATGTGGTTCCTACAAATCCACTAAAACTAAGCGTTTATGACATCACCACCTCAAAGGGTAGCCTAATATCTAATAGCAGATTTTGCGATAGTGACGCCATCAAACTCTTAGTTTTAGCGAAATTTCAGTAACCACAGGCATCAGACTGAAACTTGGCATAGTACAAATATATGCTATCAGTGTCTCTGATGCACAATCCCTTTAATATGTTTGTGAACGAATGGTAGTTATATTATCTTACATAGACCATTATTTACATTTTAAAGTATATATTTTTTCCAGCCTGTTCATAGCCTGTTCTGTAATAACCACTGTTTATGGATACGGGGCATATCGAGATCAAATACCTAACGGAAATAATGTACCACATCCTTGTAAACCCAATTATAAGTGGAATGGAGTTGGACACAGAAATGTAGACGGTGGTGGAAACAGGAATCCATTTGGTGTAGATTTTGCGGCTGCCAATAGGGTTTGTTGTTTATTTTAGCTATCACAGGTTTAATGTTGTTGTAAATTTAAGGGTGATATTAGTACAATGACTTACCCACTAATCTACGAGATGATAATAAGATGACTTGAAATACATCAATAGGCTACCATTTAGAGCCCCGCCGTCTGGACTCGTATTTAATTTTTCCAAACATTTGACGCCTTTGGTAAATATTTTAAATTGTACGTACGGTGAATCAAAATGTTTAAATAAAACCTCATGTTCAAAATTTTCCAGATGGCTTAAAAGGTACTTTAGTAAACTTGTGGCATATTGGTACCCAATTGGTATCCAGGGACTGGAACTTTGTATCCTGCATATATGCTGAAGATCTTATGATTTCTATAGCAAAAAATAATATTAGTTTTTAAATTCTTTGCTAAATAAAGACCCACCCGACTGAAGGTTTATTTGTCAGCACGTGATTGAAATAAAATTTAAATATAGTTAATGTTAATGGTAATGGCATTTTTTCAAGTAGAAGAGTTCAAATATTATTTTGTTTAAAGTGAGGGTATGTGCCGATTTACTTGACATGATATTCTGAATCATCTATCTAATGTGCACATCTTAAAGTAGAGTTTAAAGGGATAACTGCGCCAGCCAGTTTTTGACCAGTCATACCTTAGTCTCAAAAACGGAATTTTTTTTGCAAATCAGTAACAGTGTTCACAGCTCTTCGTCCAAATTTGAGCCTTCATTTCCGTGTGTGTCCGGAATTAGAAAGTTAAAAAGACGAGTCATCTTTTCTTGAGACACTGCCATAGAAATCTATGGAAATAGGAAAAGAAATTCTTAGTTTAAGATATATTTGAAGAAATTATGTAGATATCGTACATTCATAGTACTTCTGAAGACTATTTACATATATTCAAGACTCAAACAATTGGCGAACCTGTCCCTTTTTTTTAAACCAGTTAACAATCAAACGGCCCATCATAACTGTTGCCAAGGGCAACAAGGATTACGTCTATAAAATGTTTGGATTAAATGAACAAAAGGATTTTTCAGACACATCAATGCAAATAGAACGATTTTAACAGGTCACACTCGCGTTTGAATAAGTTACTAACTTAAAACTTGTAACTTTCAATAGAAATGCTATGTATTTTACTAGGCTGTCGTATAAAACGTCTTCTTACTAGATAAAATGGATACTCATTTTAACTTAAAGGGGCATTCCTCTTTTTTTTTCATTATCAAAAAGGTCGTAAAATACCTGGAAATATTTCTAAAGTGTGCTATTTATATACATTCTACTTGATCAAACTGTTGTTTGATTGTTTTAAAAGGTTAAAGAAAGAGGAAGAGTACTAAATGTTAATTAAACAGTTTCACCTAGTTTTGGTGCTTGGCTTTATAATGGTTCGATAGTATTAGTTGAAACCTTTCGAATACGTAGGAGAATTATTTCTGTACAATTGAGCGTTTATTTTACTCGAATCCGTACAGTAGTTTTCTAACAGCTTCCAAAAAAAGCATATCGAACTTAAAGTTTAAGTTCTTTTAAGTAACTTTTTAACTAGTTTGGCGTTAAAAAAATTAATGGCTCGATATTTTTAGTTCAAACTTTCAGATATTAAAGGGACATTTTTGTGTATAGTTTTTAAAAATCTGAGCAAAAAAAATTTCAACCTACAAAAAATGGAATGTCCTTTTAAGCTAAATTCCTACCAAGGAATAAATTCTTTACAGAATACTTGTTGCTTTCATACTTGGGTCATTTGAAGGATTTTATTTCAGAAATGGACCACGACACTGTGTCAGAAAGATTCTGATGGTGATGGAAAATCAAATGGAGAAGAACTCGGTGATCCAAATTGTGTGTGGACTGCTGGTGGTGTACCTTCCAGTACCGAAAATCTATCACACCCCGGTTAGATACATTTGATTACATTCTTTTCTCGTTTTATAATTGACACTACTTTTTACCAGTCAAAGCGACCCATTTCTTGAAAACAGTGGCGAATTGTAGGATAGCTTAACCAAGTGCTTCTCAACCTCAGTGAGATCATTCCTTTCACATATCGATATACTTCAATTTGCTGTATGTTCGGGTGAATGATGTCAATTGCAGTCGTAGATCACCTTGTCTTCCATTTCTTTCCCGATCCGACGATCCTCCCCCCCCCCCCCGCCCCTTTGCAATAATTCCTCCGCATGTTCTTCCAAATCCCCCCTGTTGAGAGGCACTCCACTTGGTCTTTTTATTCTACATTTTGTCATTGTTATCAGAAAATGATTCTTAGATGACACTTTTTGATGGGTTAGAATAACATCATTAAAACTGAACTGCGCTAAATAAAAATTGTTAGATTTAGAAAAATATCAGAAAAACATAAAGGCGAAAATTATTATATATATATATAATATTTAATGAAGTGCACTTCGAAATGATATGTTAATACTAATAAGTAGCTGATGATATGTTTAAATATTTGTTGATATTATATGACTGATGATTAGATTTATCTGTTGATAGTTTTAAATTCCATTAATATTATTAAATATTTGATGATATTATTACATTTCTGATGATATTATTACATTTCTGATGATATTATCAAATATCTGATGATATTATCAAATATCTGATGATATTGAATATATGTTGACATTGTTAAATATCTGTTAATAATATTATATATCTGGTGATATTATTAAACATTTGATGATATTATTAAATATCTGATGATATTGAATATATATTGACATTGTTAAATATCTGTTAATAATATTACATATCTGGTGATATTATTAAACATTTGATGATATTATTAAATATCTGATGATTTTATTAAATATTTGATGATATTATTACATTTCTGATGATATTATCAAATATCTGATGATATTGAATATATGTTGACATTGTTAAATATCTGTTAATAATATTATATATCTGGTGATATTATTAAACATTTGATGATATTATTAAATATCTGATGATATTGAATATATATTGACATTGTTAAATATCTGTTAATAATATTACATATCTGGTGATATTATTAAACATTTGATGATATTATTAAATATCTGATGATACTATTGAATATATGTTGACATTGTTAAATATCTGTTAATAATATTAAATATTTGATGATATTATCAAATATCTGATGATGTTATTAAATATCTGATGATTTTATTAAATATCTGTTGATATTATCATATGTTGATACTATTAAATATCTGGTGATATTGTTTCATATTTGATGATATTGTTAATTATCTGTTGATATTAGTATATAATTATATTGATATTATTAAGTATCTGATAATATCAATACATATCTGATGATATTATTAAATATCTGTTGGGAGTTGCAAGTGATGTCGCCCATAGAAGAAAATTACTAAACAAAGTTATCTTTATCTGCATTTTATTTAGATTTATAGATTTCAGTTTAAATTTTAATTTGCTAGGTGTGTGTGAACCTGTGGATGATGTAAAATGTAAAGATCAATCAGACTGGGTAAATGAAGCATGTGAATATGATACTTTTGACTGTACTGGTATTAAAGAACAGGGTAAGTTTTTGACCAATATGTGGGAGCCGCGGTGGCTCAGTGAGTTAGACGCTTGCTCGCTAACCTGAAGGTCAAGGATTCAATCCCGGCATAGGCCGAGATAATACCTTCGGATTTTTCAACCCGGTTTCCCCCTGTCAGTGATGTAGGTAAGAGTGTGCTACAGGCTGTGCACGTTAAAGATCCCTCGACAGTTGGAAATCGAAAAAGAGCAGGCTAATGCTTTTGTTATTTCTGTACCGCTCTAGAATTTATTGCATAATTTCATAAGTGGAAATGTTTCGAATTTAATCTAATGATAATTTTTGATAGCATAACATCTATTTACACCAGTTTGGTGGTCAATCTGATGTCGCCAAAATGTAATCGAGAACTAAATCACTCTGAACACACTGGTTTCAGAATTAAATAAAAAATCTTAACTTTTTTTTAAGTTATATGCTTTTGATAAATATGCCAGAGCAAAAACACATTCGTCTAATTGAGTTACAATAGGTATGCAATGTTTTCATTTTGACTTAAAAAAAAATTACAATTTCAGGTGTTAAACAGATGAGCTTTAGGTTCCCACCAACAACTGTACCGGCTAAAGAAACAACATATATGTGTATGGAATTTGAGCTGGATGTAAGTGATGACTTTCATTTGATAGCAACTGAACCCATCATAAATAACACCAATGTTATGCACCACGCAGTAGTTTTTGGATGCGTTGACGGTAGGCACCCCTTAAATATTCGTTAATGGCTTGTGAAATGTCGTGAGAAACTGTTAGATTTAAGCTTTTCTATTGAGGATATTATTTTCTATTTGGGTTTCACTTTTTATGAGGAGGAAGGAACAAAAGAATTTATAGTGATAATTTTTTTATCTGTTTATTATTAAATATCTGGTATATTATTTAGTATCTGTTGACCTTATTACACATCTGTTGACAGTTATAAATATTTGATGATATAGTGATATTATTAAATATGTGTTGATATTACTAGATAAATTATCATTATTAAATATCTAGTACCTTATTTAGTATCTGATGAGCTTAAAATCTCTCTGAAGACACTATCAAATATCATCTGTTGACAGTTATAAATATCTGATGATATAGTGATATTATTAAATGTGTTGATATTACTAGATATATTATCATCATTAAATATCTGATGAGCTTAAAATCTCTCTGAAGACGTTATCAAATATCATCTGTTGACAGTTATAAATATCTGATGATATAGTGATATTATTAAATGTGTTGATATTACTAGATATATTATCATCATTAAATATCTAGTATCTGATGAGCTTAAAATCTCTCTGAAGACGTTATCAAATATCATCTGTTGACAGTTATAAATATCTGATGATATATTGATATTATTAAATATGTGTTGATATTACTAGATAAATTGTCATCATTAAATATCTAGTACCTTCTTTAGTATCTGATGAGCTTAAAATCTCTCTGAAGACATCATCAAATATCATCTGTTGACAGTTATAAATATCTGATGATATATTGATATTATTAAATATGTGTTGATATTACTAGATAAATAGTCATCATTAAATATCTAGTAAATTATTTAGTATCTCTTATCTATCTTTCTATCTTATCTATATTATCAAATATCATCTGTTGACAGTAATAAATATCTGATGAATATTGATATTATTAAGTATGTGTTGATATTACTAAATATTTTCTCATTATTAAATATCTAGTATATTATTTATTATCTGATAAGATTGATGTCTGACTGTCTGACCACATTATTAATGTTGATATTGATAATGATGATATGATAAATATATGTTGACCTCAGTACATATCTATTGACAGTAACAAATATCTAATGAATATCTGATAGTAGTATTAGATATTTGCTGACATTATTAATAGTAGTATTAAATATGTGTTGATATTACTAAATAATTGGTTATATTACTAAATATATGATAGCAGTATTAAATATTTGTTGACATTATTAATAGTAGTATTAAATATGTGTTGATATATTGATGTTAATAAATATTGCATGATATAATATATGGTATTTATATAATATAATTATGTAATTCTGATGACATCATTTGATATATATATATATATAACTTTTAATGTAAAATCACTATATATTTAGTTAGCGATAGCATTGCATGTATTTTAGAATCTTACTATATTCAATAAACATATTATTATTACGTTATTCAGGAATTAGAGACACCATACGTAATAACACACACGAATGTGGCATGGTAGCTAGTAGAAAATGTTCCCAGATTTTGAGTATATGGACTTTGGGAAGCTCTGGAGAGTGTTTCCATGACAAAGTTGGTTTTAGAATTGGGAATAATGGATATAAGCGAGTTGCACTGCAGGTAATTTAAATTTATTCCCTATAAACCATTAACTGTAATGTGTAGAGGCCTTTTAATAGGTGAAAAGAGATTAAAAGCCCCATCCAGGACACCTGGTTTTATTGCCACCAGAAATGGTTATTTATTTGCAGTCAGTTAGATATTCATATCTCATCGGCTTTTAAAAAACACCCTGCCCCTTTATCAATAGAATGGGGAATTTGCAATAATGTTGAATATGTGCACCCAAATACATGTAATAATGGCTTCATGGATCAACAATAATTTTAACCTTTTTTTTTCAATTTAAGTTTCATTGGAATAATCCCAGTTTAGTTGATAATTATATTGATGAATCTGGTATGATATTATATTATACTGCTAATAAACGAGAAAATGATGCTGGTATTTTAACTATTGGAGCTGATTATTTAAACATTCCACCTTTAACTGCTTCAACTGAACAGACCTCAGTATGTCCTGGTTCCTGTTCCAAAAATTTTATGAATGGTACAGTTTATGTGGTTTCAGCTTTCAATCACATGCACTATTTAGGTTCGTAATTTAGTTTTCATTTTATACATAATGTGTATACGTAAACGTGTTTTCTATAAGTTTGTGACTCAAGTCTTCCATCGGTTGTAATTTCTGTTTTAGAATCGAATTTATCAATAAGATATATTTGTTAAGAAACAATAGTTTTATGGATATAGACTTCTATTTATTTTTTAAACACTGTGTTTAAATAGTAAATAGAAGTCTATATCCATAAATCTGTTGTTTCTTAATGTGCTGTGATACGTCTAAATTCCTTACAAGGATGATATATTTGTTGTAGGTAAATCTCAGAAGATAGAATTATTTCGAAATGGTGTTAAAATACAAGATATAACCAATGATCCTGTATATAATTATGATAGTCCAATTGTTCATGAGTAAGTATACCCAGTTATTTTATCTTTTTAATTCAATGGCTCTTTCTGCCGGAAGTGGTTCATGTATTAAAATATGTTCTGTCCATAACAGAGAGGGGGGGGGAGGGGCTGGGGGGTGCTGCCTAGAAAAGTGGTTTGTACCCCCAATTGTATCCCCACTTATCTTTTCAACATATCTAAACGGCTACCTTTTTTCTCCAGAATATGTGTCAGAATGCACAAGATTAATTCAATTTTTCTAAAAAAAATTTGAGAGATCCCTCTAAGACGCTTGCAACTATGACACAACCACAGAGTAGCCAAAATTTGAATTTGAGTCATGACTAACGTCAGTCTGTCCCCTATTTGTACCCGAGCCTCGTAAGGCTGGCGGCGCCGCCACTGGCCAAATATGAGTTGTCCTGGTGAGTATTATGTTTCGGAAACAATTTTGTATTTTATATTATATTTTCTCGATAATTCAACATAAACATCAATTGCAAATAGATTTAGGCCAAACTTTTCTGACTAAGATCACAAAAATTTGCAAACTCATTTTCGATTTCCATCAGATTAAAATTGCAGGTTTGCAGTTTGATTGAGACAGAAACCTCACTTCTCCGTATCACTTTCGATCACTAAAATTCAACTCCTTTTTACCCTACAGTCATATCACCATTAATTCCCGGCAGTTATGAACATGATAGCTGCCATTGATATTATGACATCACTCTGGCGCCGATTTCAGTATAATAAATATTTAGATGAATCTATCCCTTTACGAACAATTTCAGCAGTACTCTTTTCTCAAGATTAGCTCATATTTTAATCTGCTTAAACTCCTATCTTTAGAAAGGTAACAGCTATAGAAGTTCGACCTGGAGATACACTATCCACAACTTGTACTTTCGATTCACGATCAAGGAACACTACCACCTATTTCGGGGATGCTACCAGTGCTGAAATGTGTTATGGATTTATAACATATTACCCGAAGAAAAATTTAGACAAGGATTTCTGCACTGCTTGGGAAACTCTTCCAAAGTGTTTTTTTGAAGGCGATCTAAGTATGGATACCGAGTTTTACAAAGGATGCGACGTTTTTTCGTTCCGGTCAGCGAGCAATGTTGAAAGTTTCAATTTTACAGGTTTGTTTAATATTTGTAATGCCAGTTGTGAATCTGATTGTAAAAGATACATCGACTCTATGTTTGAACACCCATGCATGATCGATGCACAATTACAATCTTACTTTTTACAATTTTGGACAATGTATAAATATAATAGATTAACTGATCTATTGAAGGCCTGCTATCCCGACGGAACACCAACTTTACCTCCTATCACAGTGTCCCCTACAGAGGAGAATTATGGTTGTATCCGTAGGCCTACAGGTGTTGTTTTTCTGATGATTGTTTTAAGCTTTTTCTTTTATTTCTAAGCTCAATAGCTTGGCTGTTGAAAATCACATTAGCTTTTTGCAAAGTGGACGCAGAGTCTTTATAATATTATTTTGCTTCATTATTTCGCCTTTTTTTTGATCTCCTTTTAATCCCCTGGTTCCCAACCTTGTGTGTTTTCATCCCCTGGGGGTGTGGGACTAGGGTGTCAGGGGTGTGGCCAACTGGTGTCGGAGAAAATTTTTTTTTTTGAGTTGAGAAAGCACCTCACATCATCACATGCTACAAATGTGGATGAAACAAATTTTTGTGGTTTCAAAGGTCCACGTGATTGCTCCAGGGATGTGAAGGCTGAAATAGGTTGGGAACCACTGTTCCAATCAGAACAGAATAATAAACCTTTTTATTCTACATTCATTACGATAATTTGTCAAAGCTATATTAATATGAAGTTAAAATATTAGGGATTAAAGGTTGTAACTTTGTACTAATGACAAAGTTACGAAAGCACAGGCACAGGATTTAAGTTTTAAGTTCAATATAAGAGTGTAGGCTTTGATACTCAAACAAAATCTTTGATATACACACATCAAGAAACTCAACAAGATATCGCTTTTTTATCGTTGTTATTATTATGTAATGCTTGTAATTCCGTCTTTTTTATAAGTAGTATTTTAATTGCTTTTATGCCATGTTACATTATATAATATTATATAATGTTCATTTATAATATTTTGTATGTTAAATTAGAATTGTAGACATTTTATGCAACAAACATAAACATTGCAATATGTTTTTTTAATTCCTGAACCCAATCTAAATACAAATTTTAAGAAATACGACATTTTGTCTGTGGAACTTGGTTCAATTTAAACGGCGTGTCTAAATGATCCATTTTGCAATTCCTTTGATTAGCTAAAATTAAGATTTATCAAGCCCATCTGCGAATCAAATCAAATTAACTTGAATAGCCAAAATTGAAATTTGGTGTGATTATTTGCTAATCAGATTATTCAATCTAAATTGAATCAAGCTGTAGAATTATGTAAATTGTGTGTAGTCCGTCCACAATATGTAATAAACTAAATATTTCACGAAAAATTGGTGTTTTCCATTTCGAAGGCGAATTTTTCCTTCTTAGTTTGTCTATAGCCTTGTGTGATACACAAAATAGTCAATACTTAACGAGTTGGCAAACGTAATCGCAGAGTGGCATAAGGAATATGTCGTTGGTGACACCGCAGAGATGTATAGATTCTATTTGCATCATGTACTGTTCGATGTCTATGGACACAAATACATCGAAACCCATGGCTACGTGTGCTACGTTTGAGACCAATTATATGGCGGCATAATGTTATCGTGTCACAAAACACCTGTTTTCGAAGATAAATCCTATAGCCGATAGTCCATAGAATATAGACCAATTCTTTTCCCTTGGTTCTTTTGCATGTTATTGTGCTTATCCAGACCAATCTTCACAATGGTCAACATATTACGATCCCCGACAAAGTTCGTTATGCCTTATTGAGGATGACCATTATGAGGATGATCTAGACCACGCCTTCCAATTTCTAGATGAAGTATATGTTCCATCCGAGGCCTGAACATGTGGGATAATCAAACCCTCTCTTCTCCAAAAACCAATTGCATATTTCATTTAAGGTAAGAAATACAATAAGACGAAACAGCAGTTTTATGGATATAGACTTTTATTGATTATTTAAACACAACGTTTCATTACACATACAGGTAACGTTCTCAAGTGATGATTAACTATAAACAAATAACTCCTTATGTATTAAAGAAAAAAACTTGACTGCTCAAAATACAAAATAAACTTACATATTATCAGGGACCAAAAAAAAATGGTTTATTTAAAGGGGTACTCCCCTTTTTGTAAAAGTTTTCATTATCAAAAACGTAGTAAATTATACCTTAAAGTATGCTATTTATATCTGCTTATTTTCTTGATAAAACTGTATTTGTTTTAAAAGGGTTAATTAAAAACGGAGAGTACTAATTGTTAATTAATCAGTTTCGGTTTCGGCTGGATATTATTAGTTGAAATCTGTAAAATACGTAGGAGACATATTTCAGTACAATTGGTATTTTATTTTACGCAAATCCGTACAGTAGTTATTTTGAAACTATAAACTCTACGTACTATTTTTACATATTTTTGGCGTTTAACAAATTACGACTGGATTTTTTAGTTAAAACTTTCACTTTCAGATACGATAAAGGGCACATTTAATTTTCTCTAGATTTTGGTGCATAGTTTACACAAATTTGAGCCGAAAAGAATTTTTGAACTACAAAAATTGAGGAATGTCCCTTTAAGATGGAAAAATTTAATCGCATACTTTTTCATGCTTTAATTTTAGTTTTAAGCATAAATTTTCGTTTGCAAACAAAAATTCTATTTCAGTACCATCAACAATATAGATATATATTTGGCCCTGTCCATGTAATAGTAACAACTTTTAATAAACAAATAAAGCCAAATGATACAACAATTAAAAAGCAGTTTTATCAAAACAATTCTCTCATTAGAGTTTGAAAACCAACGAAATGCCAATTATTATAATTAGAGCAGTAATGCTTGTTGGCCTATTGACACAAGTTTTATTCTTGCCATCGGTGTTGCTCTCAGGCGTACTTTTCGTATCATTAACAGAAGAGATAGTACTAGCATTGTTGCCAGCAACTGTGCTGTCGGTAACATCAACCGAGTCACCAGAAGCACTCTTGGTAGGATCAGTATGGTCATTTTTTGAGGGATCACCAGAGGAACTTTCAGTAGGATCAGTTGGGACACTCTTGGTAGGATCAGTTTGGTCAACCTTTGAAGGATCACCAGAAGAACTTTCATTAGGATCAGTTGGGACACTCTTGGTAGGATCAGTTTGGTCAAACTTTGAAGGATCACCAGATGAACTTTCAGTAGGATCAGTTGGGACACTCTTGGTAGGATCAGTTAGGTCAACCTTTGAAGGATCACCAGAAGAACTTTCATTAGGATCAGTTGGGACACTCTTGGTAGAGGCCACAGTGGTACTTTGAGTAATTGTAGTCGGTAAAGGTGGTAATCCATCGGGATAGCAGACCTTAAACAAGTCAGTGATGATGTTATATTTATACATTTGCCAAAATTGCAAAAGATAAGAACGTAATTGCTCTTCGATCATGCATGGATGTTCAAACATAGTGTCAAGGTAGGCCTTACACTCTGTTGGACAACCGCCTATACAAGTACTGGATAATATTGTAAAATTAAAGCCATCAACATTTCCCAATCTTCTGAACGTGTAGGCGTTGCATCCTTTGTAAAAGAATTTAGTGTCCTCATCAAGATCACCTTCGAGGAAACAATTGGGAAGAGTTTCCCAAGCAGTACAGAATTCCTTGTCTACATTTTCCTTCGGGTAATATGTTATAAATCCATAACACATTTCAGCACTGGTAGCATCCCCGAAATAGGTGGTAGTGTTCCTGGATCGTGAATCGAAAGTACATGTTGTGGATAGTGTATCTCCAGGTCGAACCTCTATGATTGGTGACAGCCTAAAAAGAAAGAATGATATATAAACATACCTATCAAATACATATTCGTCCGTGCATTTACTAATCAGCAAATTAGACATCAAGACGAACAGGTTCATACAACTGTAGGTCGATGCTTTGAACAAATGTTTGATCGAGTAGACGGGGCTTGATAGTGATAGGACAATGTACAGAAATTGAGATAGATTTAATGCTGTAAAGAACAGATTTAAACTTACTCATGAATAATTGGACTATCATAATTATATACGGGATCATTAGTTATATCTTGTATTTTAACACCATTTCGAAATAATTCTATCTTCTGAGATTTACCTAAAATTTTAAAGTAGGAACAAGATAAAATCCCTTTGTCGCCACCCAAATGTAATCATATAATTTCGACTTAAATAAGCAATAAGAAACAATAATATGCGAATATCTTCGAATTGTCAAGCTATTAGAACTTCGTCTTATACTTTGACAGCAATAATCATATTTCTTGAATCAGTAGGCCGCGATTTGATTAGCTTGAATACAGCCAACCATAACCCTCGACACAAAGTGTGGCCTTTTGTAAATAGATTTTTGTCCAGAGCTCTAATTGACTGTATTCGGTAGCGTACAAATCGCTGCATTTACAAACTTCCGTGAAACAAGAAAGGTGGCTATTGCAGTCAAGGTATAAGATTAATTCATGAAAGCTTGGCATTGGAAATAAATCTAAACTAACGAACCTAAATAGTGCATGTGATTGAAGGCTGAAACCACATAAATTGTACCAATCATAAAATTTTTGGAACAGGAACCAGGACATACTGAGGTCTGTTCAGTTGAAGCAGTTAAAGGTGGAATGTTTAAATAATCAGCTCCAATAGTTAAAATACCAGCATCATTTTCTCGTTTATTAGCAGTATAATATAATATCATACCAGATTCATCAATATAATTATCAACTAAACCGGGATTATTCCAATGGAACTTTGAAATAAAACAAAATTGAAATGGAAGTCATTAATAGGGTTTAATCACTAGCATGAGTGGTGCGTCTATGTTATTGCACGAAGACATTTCAATTAAATGAAGAAATTTGGGATATACTCGAATACTCGAATATTAAGATTTATCGAGTGGATTATTCCAAGAAACGTCTAATTATATCACCTTTGGATAGCAAGTCGATTTTAGTTACCGTTTCGTGCGAAAAATGTTTCTGGTCAGTGCTCATATTTCATAAGGTATGGGGACAATAAAGCCAAACTTGTTCTGGTGGGGATTTTGCTGCCTTGAACTTATTGATATTGTGTGACTAACTAACGAACGTGACGAAGAATTATTAATTGTATACTGTTCTATAAGGAATAAATTTCAGTTACCTGCAGGGCAACTCGCTTATATCCATTACTCCCAAGTCTAAAACCAACTTGATCATGGAAACACTCTCCAGAGCTCCCCAAAGTCCAAATACTTAAAATCTGGGAACATTTTCTACTAGCTACCATGCCACATTCGTGTGTGAAATTATATAAGTAGTCTCGAATTCCTGAATAACGTAATCATAATATACCAACATTATATTTAACAAAATCATCAGATATTTAATCAAATCATCATATATTAATAAATCATCAGATATTTAATAATATCATCAGATATTTAATAAAATCCTTAGATACTTAATAAAATCCTTAGATATTTGATGCATCATCAGATATTTAATAAAATCATCATATATTAATAATATCATCAGATATTCAATAAGATCATCAGACATTTAATAAAATCCTTAGATATTTAATAAAATCCTTAGATATTTGATACATCATCAGATATTTAATACAATCATCATATATTAATAATATCATCAGATATTTAATAATATCATCAGACATTTAATAAAATCCTTAGATATTTAATAAAATCCTTAGATATTTGATACATCATCAGATATTTAATAAAATCTTCATATATCAATAATATCATCAGATATTTAATAATATCATCAGACATTTAATAAAATCCTTAGATATTTAATAAAATCCTTAGATATTTGATAAAGTCATCAGATATTTGATAATATCATCAGATATGTATTAATAATATCAACAAATATTCAATTGTACTTTCAGATATTATTTAATAATACCTTCAGATATTTAATAATGATGTTTAATAAAAATCCATATAAACAAGACAATTCTGTTAATCAAAATCTCGTCCGAAGTATGGCAAAATCAAGAGTAAAAATTATATAGTAGTGGACCTCTAATAAAGTACTCTCAGGTGTTTCCAAAAGAGTAAGCATCATAATATATGCCTTCAGATATGTAATGATGTCGAAAGATATTTAATAATGTCGTAAGGTTTTTAATAATGTCGTTATATTTCAAATTATGCCTTAGGATATAATTTAGTAACGTACACAGATTTTTAATAAGGTAGTCAGATATTTGATAATGCCATGAGATATGTAATAATGACATCACCAATAATGAAACCAAGTATTGATAATGTCGTTATATATTCAAAAATGCGTTCACTGAAAATGTCAACCTTTGTAGTCCACAATTTGATTGATGGCAACTGGTGGCGGCAATAATATTCCAGTGGGATTAGTTCCAGATTGATCAGGTTTTACCAGTTTTTGCTATTTGCTAGAAGTAGTTGGTTGGGAATCCAGTTGATCTATCAGTCGAAGGCTCACCCTATGTTTAGGCTGAGAATGAATTGTAAAGATAACCTACCATCTTTGCATCCAAAAACTACGGCGTGGTGCATAACATTGGTGTTATTTATGATGGGTTCAGTTGCTATCAAATGAAAGTCATCACTTACATCCAGCTCAAATTCCATACACATATATGTTGTTTCTTTAGCCGGTACAGGTGTTGGTGGGAACCTAAAGCTCATCTGTTTGACTCCTGTAATTGTAATTTTTTTTATGTCAAAGTGACTCCAAAAGAAACATTAAGCTATAATTCAGCATTTTCTGTTTGGCTCAGGTTTTTAACATGGTGGACACTATCAAAACCTAGCGACTTAATGGTGGGTCGAAGCAACACCCTAACTATTCCTTCCGTATCTGACGTCGGAAGAACGGATAAGGCCAGATTTGTCGGGTTTTACGGTAGGTCAAATTAATCTCACCCTGTTCTTTAATACCAGTACAGTCAAAAGTATCATATTCACATGCTTCATTTACCCAGTCTGATTGTTCTTTACATTTTACATCATCCACAGGTTCACAGACACCTTGAAAATTAAAATCAACCGTACATTACAATCTGATAAAAAAAAAAGTCGTCGAGCATTATTTCGCGATTAAGTAGATATTTTTTGGACAATGTTTTGTCCGATTATGGTTATGTGGGGAATCGCTATTCTATACATATAATGTGTTCAGCAACTGACCAAATTGATGTCAGTAAATTGTGACGACTTAATAGGGTCACCCGGCCGATCAAGGGTCCAATATCAAACGTAGCATTCTATAGTGATTCATTAAAAACAGTCCCCGGGAAAGCAGAATCAATTAGAGAGTACAGTTTTGATCACATCTGGGATTTATTTTGACCAAAGACATATATCTAAATAGTCAGTAAAATTCCTTGTTTGAATTATTTTGAAATGAATTTGATTATGATTATGATCTTGAATATTTAAGGCACACAGTGAATTTTAAAAAAATGCGATTATTCTCACCGGGATGTGATAGATTTTCGGTACTGGAAGGTACACCACCAGCAGTCCACTCACACTTTGGATCACCGAGTTCTTCTCCATTTGATTTTCCATCACCATCAGAATCTTTCTGACAGAAATCCGTAGTCCATTCCTGCAAAAAAAACGATGCAAAACCAATCTCGGTCGACTCTACTCCGACAAAAGCCAAAGAGCATAAATTATTTTGTCTTTAAAAAGCTTTACAGCTACCAAAATACTGTAGAGGTTTAGGATTTACATACGGAGTTGTACCAAGAAGGGAAAATCATGGTGAGAACCTCAAAAGTCGCTCTGATCAACTCGATCTAGAAACGGGTAGGGCCAGATATATCTGCGCAAAAACTCTCCAAGAACTGATTACCGAAAAGAAAAGATGAGTTGGTATTTCAGAACCACGAGAATTTGGTACTTGGTAAAAAAGTAGCGAGGTTTCTCATACTATCAACATATTTGCTGCTTGGTTTATCAACTAGACATTCCCGCCGTAGCACTCGCCAGGGAACAATCAAAAATCATTGCATTAGAATAACTTAAGCAAAAATTAACGCTTACTTTATTGGCAGCGGCAAAATCTACACCAAATGGATTCCTGTTTCCACCACCGTCTACGTTTTTATGTCCAACTCCATTCCACTTGTAATTGGGTTTACAAGGATGTGGTACATTATTTCCGTTAGGTATTTGATCTCGATATGCCCCGTATCCATAAACAGTGGTTATTACAGAACAGACTATGAACAGGCTGGAAAATAGATAGAGCAAACACTTTGACACAGTCGCATACATTTTAAAAAGTCTTATTGAACTCGATTGGTATTCCGCATTTCACTTAAAAATTCATCATGACATTCAGCTACGGATTTCATTTGGACAGTGATTAAGAAATTTGAGAATTGATTGAAGTTAAAGGGATTTATCCCCGCTTTACTAGATTGTAATCCTTGCGTATCTCTTTACAAAACTAATACCTTTAACCGCTAACAATGAGATCAGTGACGTCAGTGTAGAAAGTGGCGGAGCCAAACTGTCGCCCCCACCCCCCACTCGGGCAGAAATAGGTAGGTTAAAGATTCGGGCAATCCCAGATATATCGCCCCCTCTCGGACGTAAACCTGGCTCCGCCAATGAGTATTGCCATTGCCAACGACTTCATGATAATGCTTTTATGGGAAATATGATAATGCTAATAAAGGTCTAGCAAATATCATTACCTCTACAACTCATATTTTATATAACTGAAGAACAACCGTACGTCGTATTTATTTTTAAAAAGATATACAGGCAGTTGAAATAAAGCTATCCACACCTTACATCCGCAAGTTATGTATATACAATATCAATTTTCTTGGCAAACACAAACCGTACAAACACCATTCAATAAGGCTTGATATGATTTTCAATACAAAAAAAACACATACTCATATACTTACAGTAGAAATACGTGACGATGTCGACTTATTAGTAGTTCAACCATCATGCATCGAAGAGTTTGAAGTTTCTGGACAACTATCTCATGATTTCAACTATGCTATTCTTCAAAACATCATGTGACATAATGCAATATTTCTCTGAACAAATAATAATTACGAAACTTTATTTTGAAATTGTGCAATCATTACCATAGTTTCAAGGAGACTTTGAACATCCATGCTCAGGAGCAGCAAAGAATGTATTGATATACTTTAACGGTAAGATCGAGTTTAAAACTTTTCCGTTACATGTTGATTTAATGGCTTTCTAGTTGCATTTTTTATTCAGTTCACTCCCATATTAAGGTAGATATGTAATACGATATTACCATAGCGATCACCATTAGTTACGTTTGGTGCCGAAAAAGAGTAGCGGTCATTAAAAGCATGGATACTTTCATTTTTCGCAACAATACGCATACAATACAATACAATACAGATGGCAAGGATGACTTCTGACAACGATAGCCAGTGATTCAAATAAATAACCTTGGTATCACGTTAACAAAGAACATCACCAGATCTATAGGGTTGAGTCCACATTTTCTCTCGCACTTGAGCATATTAACAATGAATTTTAATATTGATTACGCCGTGTAATATGAAGCCGTATAAGGGTATCGATTGTCGGTGTTGAGAGTGCACGCACGCGTATTTTATTTACTAGAATATGGACTCGGGCCACTGAAACATTTTATGCAAATTTAGTCCATGCTATTTTTAGAAATCCTCTTCTCCCTCTCTTGTGAGGATTTTGATTGTCCTTTTGTAACTAATTTTTGGAATTTGATGTCTGAAATTGCATTTTCTTTCAGATTTGTGAGATAATGAGAATTTACTGTAAAGACAGAAGGATATGTCTATGATGGTTGTTTTGTGAGTAGTCATCACCCCGCGGGTGTTTATAACTGGTAGCGATTTACATTCTAGCTTAAATGTTCATGGTCACCATATATTTAAGTTTTGAAGAGGTACTTGGTGTTGTTATTGGTAAGTTTTCCATAGCGATTTCTGGAAACAGTTATAGAAAGTTGAATTTCGCGAGATAAAAATAATTTAAATATACACTAACACTGCAAAAATGTTAAAACGGTTAACCACATGCATGGTTCAAAAGTTTTAAGTGATTTTCTAATGGACAATATTCGGTTATTTGCACACCATTGATGCTCATAACGCTGTTTTCATATGGGGACTTCTGAATGGCTCCGTGTGAAGGACACTAGGATTCGAATTCTGGTTTTGTCATTTAAGTCCCCTCTTGTTGGTGATGCAGATCGAAAGGATAAACCGTCTTTTCGTACTATAAATACATGAACTGATCAAAATAATTCTTTGCAATCTGAGTGACCGCGCTATATTTCAGCACTTGATACTATTCTGCCAGAGCCGTAACTAAATATAGACATAATAGGAAAATGTCTCCGAGTGAAATTGACAAATAAATAAAAAAAATATTTTATTTCAAAACATTTGAATATAAATAACATGATATGAAGTCTACGGAATAGGTGGTTACCGTTAAAGTCTACCCAGAGCCCTCGCTAAAACATCATAGCCCTTACAGCCCTGTCTCCGGCCATCTCGGTGAAAATATTTGGCATTGTCTGATCAAAGTAAAAAGTTTTTGAATTTTTTCTATAAATTTTTTAAGAGAATTGCAATATCCGTCCCTACAGTTAATCTTTGAATGTATATGCGTTAAACAAACATCATGTTTACATTTGAAAGCCCAAACATGTCAAAATATTGGCAGAAAATTGTCCTCTGTAAAAACAAATTTTGACGACATAATATGTGCTCATGTATACTTTTATCAACGCAAAGACATTCTAAGACTAACAGTGATATTTTGAGAGTGCTATTCCAATTCGTCCAAAACTTTTTACTTTGCTCAGACAATAGTAGTGTTTATTGAGCATGATATCATATATTTTAACGACATTTCACTGTACATTATAATAATGTTCCGTTTCTAGTCTTCAATATCCATTTTTGACCAAGCGATCCATCACAAGGTTCAAGATACAGAGAGTCTGTTACATTCTGATGGATATCTAAAGTTATACAAGTTTTGTTGGCCACATTCAATAACATTTTATCCTGCAAACAAAACAGACAAAAAAACATTTAAATATAAAAATGCTTCAGAAAAAAAAGACTATTTTTTAACAAACCATACAACCTGTGAAATGGTTCTCTAAAATTCCGTTAAAATTCGAACGCCTTCTGCAAGGGCAATAACTCAGTTAAATTTTTCCAATATTTTATCTTTGATAGTGTTTTTCCTATGCAATTGCTCCAAGAACAATTAACATTTCTCGAGGAATGTGTCCTAATGTTTGTTTACGAGCAAAAATTTGAACGCATATCAAAAGAAGGGGATAATTCAGGTTAAGTATTTTTGGAATTTTGTGATCAGATAGAGTGCGTAATGGGTAGCGTCGTGAATATTAATCTACCTTGGTATACGTATACAGTTGTTTGTGGTCTGTAGTATTACACTTCTCTATAGAAGGCTGGTTACCATCAAACGATAAACAGCCCTCAGATTCTTTAGTAGCTCGTACTTCAGTTCTTATATATCCATTTCTTGTATAATACCAATTCTGGCATATCATCAAGTATTATGAAAAACATTAATATATAACCAATGTAATAATGTCATAAATAAAACTACAGAAAGATTAATATGCATGCTTCATTTTGTGCTTTTCCCAGTGGCTGACCTAGGCTCCCTTACTCCCTAGACAAGGGGTTACAAGTGTTGAAACTGAATTCAAAATGCTCCGCCACTGACCCACTTGACATCAATGATCTAACTAAATCATATTACATATTTAGTTTTTTAATGTTTCATTCTTATAATGAAAATATGGTCAAAAGCTGTGATGTGACAAGAATATTGGTATATTTCAATCGTATCAAATTCCTTACCTGATTTCCACCGACTCCATGACAAGTGTACACTTTTAATGCACCTTGGTGATCTAGACTATCAAAACATGCATTTGTGACTGCCGACCTGATCTTAAAAACATATTGGAAAAGATAAAATTGATTTGGAAATTATCTGAAATACCTCGATTTGAGCATTTAAATCCATGTGTGCCCATAATTATCTACGTTTGAATGTTAAAATGACGACTCGTCAATTTAAGATACTCTTTGACATACAAAAAAGACATATTATATAGGTTTTTTTTAAAGGAATTGTGTGATTTTCGCACATTTCAAGTATTTCTGAAGACTAAAACCACCCCAAAATGCTGCAGCCGTCCTTTAATGTTCTCGAAGATCCTGTTTTTGGCAAAAATCATGGCATTGATTTTTTGAAGATTATTGTTACCTTACAGTTGGGTGACGAAAGATGACTGGTTCAAAAGTTATGGGGACATTTGAATTTTGGTCGAAAGAGAAACCCATGTCATCGACCAATGTCATCATATCACCTCAACCAACTAAGAAAACGCCCACCCTCTAAAATAAAGGATAAAGTAAGAAACTGTCTATGAAGAATGGACAGCCAGAGAATGGACAGTGTCCAGCTTAGTAAAAGAAAACCTTGCTATATCATTGTAGTTTTTTCCTGATTTTACTACATATACTACACCTCTGTTTATCTTTTAGAAAGATTTGTGTCTTACCTCGCCCACGGATAGGGCATCTGTAGGTATATACATGTACTCATTCAAAATATTACTAGCATACCATTTAAATGACTTACAATTTAAATCTTCTCTCAAACTAATTCTGCTACGTAAATCGCCAATATCTATCTGTAAAATGTGAAATATAACACTTTAGTACACAGACGTAATATCAATGGTAGCTCACTGCTTTCATGTCATAATCTGTTTGCTCCTTAAAAACCAGTTTTCATATTAGTGGTTACATGTAACCCTATATACCTGGACCCGGCAATTTTTAATTATTTTCGTAAGTGTGCTGTAGTTTATATCTTCGGTCACTCTTTCAGTAATTTTTTTTTTATAAAATTCAGTGTGGGCATTAGGTGTTTCATCTTTCCACTATATAGTATTGCTAATCATCATAACTTTGAAAGGCACCAAATAGCTGTTGAGACTAATGCTTCAAGATAGCTGTTAAGGCATATTGAATACATGTTGTTTATTCATATCTGTAAACAAACCTAAATAAAAAAAGCAAGCTGTTTATCCATACCTAGGACATAATTGATAGTGACTATACCTGTATATATATGCCCCACACACTTTCATTATAAGCGCCAAATCATATGTACGGTATTTCAGTGGATACAGGAATCATACGCATACCTGAATGTTGTAAAAATCTTTGAAGAACTGTTGGTATTCGTCCATCCAAACTGTTGCTACTCGGTTAACATTTCTCCAGGTTGTCAGAGCACCTTTAGGCCAACTGTATGGAGAAGCACTACGAAATATGTGAGCAACTCGAGAACATGGTAACATTTCAAGATTGCCACCACACATCCAGATCTGAAATGAGAAAAACATAGTACTATAGTACTGCTGTTACTATATTTTCTGAAAATAATTCTGATTATTGATTACTATATAAGAAACAACAGTTTTATGAATATAAACTTCTTTTTATCTGTATAGTTTAAGATGGTTAATATCCGATAGTGTCTTATCTCAATTTTGATGTCGAATGAATTCCATATCGAATTAATATCCATAAAACTGTTGTTTCTTCAAGGTCTTATCTTCGGTCCGTACGCTTATTGTAAGATTTGTAAGAAATCTGATCGATAACAAGCGCTGCTTTCAAGTATCCAAAATAACATATATTTCTTTACTAGTTTTTGAAGGAAGACCGATATTTTCAAAATTCTTATTTCATTGGAATTTCTGGACCATCTCCATCCGGCCTAGTGGTCATCAATTCTCTTCTTACCTTGAATGATAGTTCAAGATTTTCACCTCCCCATGTTTCCAACCCAGAATCGTAGGTACCCAGTTTTATAAAGAATTCTCTTGAAATACTGAAAATACCACCTGGCATGGTTGGTGATCTGTAACATTTAAAGGTATAGTCTCTCCTATTATCAAAAAAACCCGCAAAATGTATTGGATTTCTATCTAAGAAGGTTCCCATATGAAAACATTACTTTAAAGGGATTTTAAAAGGGTTGACACTTATGCCACATGTGTATTATCCGATTTCGTGTTGTCACACCATACGATCATACCATCGCATTATCCATTATAACTGACACCGACAGTATCGATTTACTTCATTCCAATTTTTAGTCAGATGTCTGTGGTTCTCTGTGCAGATCCACAATAACAAAGATTGTGGGGTAGTAGCATCATAAATCACTTAGTCATCCTGAAAGAAAAGTGGGAATGGTATGCAGCTGCAATAATGAAGATATTATACTATTCTCCTTACCGTAGCGGTTCGGCCATCTCTCGCCTAATTTCCCAAATGTCACGTGGTACTTTTACCCATGTAAAGGTCATGTCTTTCCAATGAAATGCCCCGACCATGTCAATAACAGCTTCGCCATATTCGAACGTTAAATCATCAATGTTATCCAATGTGGGAAACACCACGTTCTCGCTTGAATTTTTAATTCTATGAAGTAATGGTTCAAGCCATCCTATAGAAATGAGAGAAAATTCTGCTTTCTATTCAACGTGAATAATTTATCTGAAGTCGAGTGGCGTTTTTAAGAATCATTAGATTATCATAATAAATATATTGGGGTCTTTATTCTTTACTTGTCATTACTGTTACTTACAGATTGTTGTGAATATCTTTCTCAAATACCTGTCCCATAATAATATTTGATCTTTCCTCTGATATACAAGAGGAAGCGGGGACAAAGCCATGGCTAGAAGAGTGGATAGAGCATTGTAGCCCAGTCACACTGGACTGTGACCATTTGCGATTTTAAGGCGATCACATGTACATGTACTGGGTCGCTGGAATACATAAAGCAAACGCGAAAAAGACCCTTTCAAAATTGCAAATTTTATAACAGTCGCACTCAAACTGTTATATGTGCTAATAAAATCTATGGGCTTGGGCTCCAACCTTACGATATTTGACGCTTCCTACACGCTAATACGATCTTAACATTCTCTGAGCTAATTTTCCGTCGCCGTAACAGCTCAGTAAGGACGCCTTTCCGTTATTAGAACCTTTAGTGTAAAACGATTTTAGAATTTATATCAGTCCCTCTGTATACAAACCTACTAAACATTCGACATGAGAATCAAGAAAGGTAACCACTGGGGCGGTTGCTGCATCAAATCCTACTAGCCTTGCTCGTATTAACCCCTCTCGTTGTTGTAGTCTGATCAGGCGTATTTTATTATATTTGAAGATGTAACTTTCTAATGGTTGTTTTAAGTGATCTGTAATATAAATATGTATTTTGTATGTTCAATATTTTCCTACTCCTGGAAGCAAGGACTACGTGATTTATAACCATGCTACTAAAGGTCCTAAAAGCAGTCATACTATTACTAAATGATTATTATTTGCATATGTTACTATTGATTTGCAGTGTATTTCCTGAAATATGGGATATGTTATGTCCGCAAAATGGCATCTTTATCAATTTTAATAGAATCACACTACCACACATGTCCGAAAAATTAGCAAAGTGACAAAAAAAATGTTCAAAGGTACATGCAATATAACATCATAAAATCTACAGCAGTGGCCATTTTGTTCGCCATCTTGGAAAATACTCGCACATTGAGGATTTGTAATGAATATTTTTGTATGAGAATATAATATAATACATACCCAAATCTGACCCATCGTCTACAAGAATTATCTCCTTTATCAAAGACGGTGGCGACCTGTCGAACACACTATGGACAGTACGCAAAAGAGTAGACCATGCCTCATTGTGGAAACATATAATGATACTAGTAGATGGTAGGTTTTCTCCATAATCTTTTTGTAGGCAGCTGAAATAAAAGGTTAAAAAATATTGCTATAAGATTAGCTGTGGGTTTTGGTAGTTAACTTCTTCTACGCAATATCTCGTTCAGTTAAAATCTATTGCACATGCCAGTTTTTTCTGTGCTTAAGAAATGTCAAATCGGTATCAAACACAAATTAACAAGTTAACCACGAATTCTGATATTTGTTGTTGCAGTGTCTGGTACCATTCACACAACAGTTGGTATTTTTCCACACAAAATAAAACCAATTTTAAGGTCGTTAGTTGATTTTCAACGACTGTAGAAACAGATTTGTCGACCTGAGCACTTCGTAGTTTTTGCCATCTTGAACTTGGGTACAAATTTCTAACAAAAATTGTCGTCGCACTGAACATTTCCCATAGTCGATTCGATTTAACCTGAAGTGAAGTGTTTGTATATTGTTTCTTGTTAGATCGAAGTAAAAAAGGGAATACCTCTCATGTCTTTTATCTGGCAGTGACCGATGTAGGGAAATCATATTACTAATGTATTCATTAAAGGCGTTTCTTTTAAACATTTCGTCGTATTTTTCTTTTTCGTGTGGTGTTAGTGCCGACACATCAACTGATACAGCTTTACCCATCTCGCCGTCTAAAAGAAATAAATCGTAAATGATTAGATCTATTTCAGCTATTTGTATGTCTTTCTAGAATAGAACTTCTACGCTCAGTGTAGGTGACGACAGTCCAAGTTTCTAGACCATGTTGATGATATAATCAATAGCATTGGTTTCACCTGCATACGAACTGTACATCTGGTTTTCATTCTAAAAATTTGAACAGATATCTGACTGAAAAGGTTATATCGGCTTAACATAACGTATAATTAGACAACGATGTCCCTTTGCAGTGATATGGTTATTTTATTTAACGAATTTCGAAATCGATTGAATATTGACGTTGTTGACAATTGAAGGTCAGTCGGATACGTGTCGGTGTTACTGGAATTTTAATTGAATCGCAACAGCGGTGCAGTTTTTATGATATTTTCAATAACAGAAATCAAAATAGTGTCACTAGAATTTATCAGTGTTCCCTTTAAACATAAACAGACCAGAAAATTGCACCCAAATCTAGAACCAAACGCAGAAAAACGACGTAAAAATCTTTTACATACCGCTGGCATACTTCCTTGCACTTCCTTGAGCTGCACTTCTGAATAAGGTCAAAGCAAAATCTCCTTTTATATACAGATTAAGAGATGAGTAACTGTTGGCCACGATGGTTGTATGATGTTGAGTCGTTGACCTATACATAGCAGTGGCGGGTGTCGCGAGAAGACCATGCTTACTCTTTTCGAAACACCTCAACTAATTTGGTTTAGAAAAGAAAAAAGAAAAATCACCACTTACGCATTTCCTGTTTTATTTTGGACTGTTGTGTTGTATTTCGTTCAATAGTCATACGATTTTCTACTTCAGGTTGGTGTTCAAAATCTAAAATTTCTTGTATTACCTTCGTCACATTTAATGGTTTCACACTTTCATTTACCGCGAAAAAGGATTTCCCTGGCATGCTTTCCTTATATGGAATATCGAGCTGCTTACTTTTTACGTATGAAACCATAAGGGGAACTACTTCACTATTTTCGGTATTTTCAACTGCGGATATTGTTGTTTCTAACATTATGAACCAACCGACCAAAATGAACCATATCAAACATAAAACAACAACGATCTTCAAAACCAAGGATGATTCCATTGTTGAATATATTCAATTAATTTTACTGAATTTCTGTATTTAACAATGAGTTTTTGACCGAATGATTGCGCTCGATTGTATCCATATAAAGCACTTATAACCTGAAGTGCACTTAAGTACTTAAGCGTAATAAATAAAGTGTAAAAAGTTCTAAAAAATAATGAAACAGACAGACTATCCTCGGATCCAAAAATACTTAAATCCGGGTATATAAAAGCATCCAGCTTCCAACCAAATCGTTTTACTTGCACAGGAGATATTAGAAGACACACTAAAATCACTAAGAGAAAAACTATCCAGACCGAGGTAACGTTGAACTTCGCAAAGTACGATTAGTGAATATGCTTGAAGGGAGTCAAATTTTCATATTGGAATGAAATATGTATTGGTTCATTTTTTTTTCTCAATATATTGATTCTGGTGATCGATCTTGGGCGTTGAACCTTTTGTTGGGTAGCAGATGTCTTACCATACATTTCATTTGCAGAATCTGTCAATATATCAAAGTGTAGTCAATAAACGGTGAATCATATTTAGTTGCATCTTCACAATGTCAAGCTTTCTTGTATCGCGGTATGCAGCAATTTGATTAGATTTTACACCGGCTAATACAGAGCTCATTCTTTACATATTTTCTGTCGAGAGCTCTGATTGGCCGTTCTTGCTAGAGCACAATCCAATGTAATGGCTCCATTAACAAACGTCTGTGTAAAAAGAAGAATAGTGGATATTGCAGTGAAAGTATGTGACGAAGTTCGTTCGTGTCATACCTTGATATTGTGAAAATAGCTTAGCCGATAGATTTCACTTTTCACTGATATAAGCTGCATAATTATTATGGTGTCGGATATAGCTAAAATGGAGGGCATACTCGCCTTTCTAATGCCACTATTTGACTAAGTCCCCGTGTAATTCCCAAAGCCCCAATTACAAATAATCAATTCCTGCAGAACTACATACTTTGATGTCGAGACAAACAGGAAAAAGCATTCAGCAATACTTGTCATGGATTCCATCAAGCAATGAATGGTGGAGAATCGGCTCAAAATGAATGATAAATCGGAATTTATTGTTCTTGGAAGCAATCGTTTAACACAGAAATGTATGATGTCGGAAGGTCCAAAACTAATTCACGTTAAATGTAACGTTGCATGTTACGTCTGATCTTGGACTCGTTTCTACCGAGTTAAGAAAGCCGAGAAACGGAGAAACTGGACGTAGAATTTGGCCCGGCCTTTCTCTTTTGAGGGCTTTCTTAATTCGGTAAAAACTCGTCCTCGATCATTATCCTAATCGTAATATGATGACTAAAGATGTAATGATGTAATTTCGAAACAGTGGGACGTGACCTATAAGCTACTTAATGAAAATCCACACCTTTGTTGTGCCATTGTATGATCGACATCTTGTGTCAGGTTGTGACAGTCTGATGAGTGATATTTACATGTACATTGGTGTTGTCCGTCTGTATAGGTGATCTGGTCAATCCAAGATGCTCATAAACATAACATTCCGTATTTATAATAAAATATAATGACATTAATTGATTTGCAATCGTTTATGGAAACATACAACAGATTAAAATGTAAATTTAATACAACAATCGACAATTGAAACATTAAAAAAATTATAACAGATTAAATGAGTTGATAAGGAATAAAATGAATTATTGCAATTAATATTGGGACTTCTACGATGGATGCTTTCCACTATCATAATGATAAGTTCATTTGCAGGCGCACGGACGAAAACAAATTCTTACTCATATTAAACATGAGAAAAATAGTTAAATTTTCTGGAATACAATCAGGTCAATGTGTACAAGGAACTGAACTTATATGTACATTTAATCAAAAAGCAAAAGAAAAACCATAAGACAATGTAAGTTGCAATGAGTCTGATTACTTAATTATCAGAACAGAATGTTTCTGCAGGCCTTCTTCCTGGGGTATTTCTTTGTGGTGAAGAACCTACACGGCGAGGTGAACGTCTTCCACTGAAAAAATCACGCAAAGACATTCCATAACTTAGTTTTCGGGGAATTATTCTGCTGAATTCAATATCTCTACACAAGTTGTCGCTATAGATGTATCCAAAATAACAGGCATTTGACCTTCCTCTGCCAACTTTATTGGCCAAGGAATTATAATATCTTTCCTGATTGCGGTTGTATGCAGCACAATTGTGAGGATTGCCTTGATACACACAGTCGTACGTGTCCCGTCCTCTTTGGCATCTGACGTGGAAGCGTCTGTTACCTGGTCCACTTTGTCGGCATTCAGCATAACTGCAGGTATATCCATCAGTTGGGTTTTCAGCGAAGTTGTTTCGAATACCAGTCTGCCATGCTGCATGAACGACATATGTGAAACAAACCAGAGCCACCAAACTAAACAGAATAGTCTTGTTCATTTTGCTAGTCTGAAATAGACAAAAGCAATAGCTTTTCTAATCGTAATAACCATTCAGATAAATTGAAATATTTAAAAGGAATGTCACAGGTAGAAAAATGTCGACCAATTGTGCTTAAAACTATCAATACATCACACTGAAGTTTCCAAATTCCAAAGTCTCTGACACCAATACAACGAGGATATAACCTCTAATGACGCGCTCAAAGGGGGGTAATTACTATTAAACATTTTTTCTATTGTACAAATCTCAAACGACCTGTTAGGGTGCGGGCACACGAATAGTGCCGGTCGCCGATTTTTGTAGCCGACTCGAATCTTAGATAAAATTTCGCGTGTGCGTGTACTTTCGACAGGATTTATAATATCAAACAAGTAAGATTATAATTGTCTCCGATAATTTTATCGTCTGCAAGACAGAGCGTCATCATTTTCCTTCCAATTGCATGATCCACACGTGATTTTCGACATACTGGAAAACGAGCGACTCGAGATTTTTGTCTGTTCGTGTGACCGCAGACTGTCGATGAAAAATCGCCAACCAAGACCGTTCGTGTGCCAGCTCCTAAACAGCATAAACAAGTAGCAACCCGACATAATCCATTTATCTGGATTGAAGTGAACATGAAATGAGAATTCAATTGAGGGAAATATACTGACCATAATATTTTCGTCAATCCACACCAAATTCAAACCGCTTGTCTTCAAGCAGAAATGATGAAGTAATGTCATTGTGTATGTCATTAAAGGGAGCAATAATATACATGTACCATCATAACCATTTTGAAGCTGAAATACCGATTTACATAAAAAAAAATGCAGCAATAAGATTAACCAATCAAATACATTTTAGCATCGGGTAGTTCAATCGAATTCACATAATATTCGATTGTTGGAGCATGTGATCACGAATTTGTCCATAAATCTGTCCCGTGAACATGTGATTGGTTGAATAAATGATCGCACCTGCCTTGTACGCAACCTCAGATAAGGAATGGGTGAAATTATCCCAGTCTAATTTAAAATTAAAGCAAACTTTCGTTCCGTTTTTGCTTTAATCAATGAAATTTCCACCATCTCCAGCGCTGGCATTTTGTGACGCTGTGTTTATCAGGTTACGTCAATTTGACGAACGTTCCAGAGGATTATAGAAACTTAAAAAAAAAACGGAACGAAAGTTTATAGTCCACAACCTAAATGAATATTTGGAGTTGTTTTTCATCCTGACTCGAGAATTCTTTTGGGAAATAGCCACTTTAAGAACGTTTTTAATTCATATTGAATCCTTGAGAATGATTTCACAGATATCTCGCCGGAGGTTGACATCTTTAAGACTTTGTCGTGATAATTATGTAACCTTGAGAAAAATCCGGTTGCATCTCTCGCTCTCCAAAATCACAAGAATGTCATGGTAACACCAGTCTCATAACGTTCCGTTTTTTATGAGCTTTTATTTTTAACATAACCACCCCTAGATACACTAAATGATGTATAGCATCACACCTATACATAACCTGCATATATGTTTCGTTTCATTTCATTGAGGGGGCTAATCCGACAAAATAATAAAAAAAAAGAATTTACTATGAAGGCCAATGTCATGTTTTGTATGAATAGAGTGACTTTGCTGTACAGTGGCATAGAGGTGAGGTACGGTGTCCGATGCGGTGTAATGCGGTGGAATAATCGATACAAACGAAAATAGAAGAAGTGAACACAAGAGGGTTGGTGATTGCGGACACGGTGCGGACACGATTCGTTTCTTCTATTTTCTACTGTATCGACAATCCCGCATCGTACACCTCACCGGACATTCGTCCATTCGCACCCAAAGTCTGCGCCTTTTGTTTTCCAATTGTTGAGAGATTTAACTTGCAAAAATCGTCATGTGCCTCCGTGAAATATCCAGAATATTGTAGCTTAATTGGTAGGGTTAAAATCGAAGAAAAAGATGACAAAACTTGAATAATCGATTGATTGAATATAGATGTAAAATCAACCAATCACGCTAATTAATGATGCAGACTAATCTGAAAAGATTAAAATCTGTCTATGTAATCTCTCATTGCAAAATTCAGTCTACTGAACTGTAAATGAAGAGATAACCTTAGAAATAGCTGATCCAATACGAGGATTATTGTCAGACCTGTGATGGGTATTTCTGGGTAAAAGTCAAGGTTTTATAATGGTATATTTTTTCATTTAGTTTTAGACCTTATATATCGATTTTTCGTCCTTTTTGAATGCATTATTGTATACTTAAGCTTATTTCTTCATTTCTATATAAAAAAATATCGATTTTTATAGACCTTTATTGTGTTTTCTATTTATGATCCAAAATATTTTTTGCTTGTTTCAACCAGTGAGTTAATACTATGTTTAGAAAATAATTAAGGCTAATCCACATGTCCGTTAAAGTGAAATGTAGTCCGGACATGTCGAGACACTTTTCACAGCACACGTGGGACTCGGAACAATATCGAAGCAAACTCGGAACGCCTTTTTTGAGACCCAGACCAAGTTTGCATAGTCATTGGTCCTAATCTTAAAAAGATGGTCCGAGTGTGTTATGAAATGTGGTCTAAATTTATGTAGTCATTGACTAGAGTCTCAGAAAAGTGGTCCGAGTGTGTTGTGAAAAGTGGTCTGAATTGACATAGTCATTGGCCCGAGTCTCAAAAGAGTGATCCGGATTTACATAGTCATTGACTAGAGTCTCAGAAAAATGGTCCGAGTGTGTTGTGAAAAGTGGTCCGACTTTGGTCCTGGTTGCCTTGTAAGTTGTATTCATCTTCGCGTATTGTTGTATTATTGTCTTACAGGACCATATTGCATTTATAATTGCCTATAATGGTTTCCTATGTAAATGATTGCAGGGAGAGGCGGACTTGTAACATCTACAGTGTACTTTCATTCCTCTCCTACTCTACAGACTAGAGATTTTCGTTATCAAAGTGACTTACTTAATCGATTGCCCTGAAGTACTGTGAAATTGATTTTTATCAATCATTATTGAACCATCAACAAAGATATTGAAATAATATATTTAAGAAAGTAGAAATCTAAAACAAGGATTTAACAAACTTTGTTTTACGTTGAAATGGCATCGGGTAAGCGATTTCTGCTATAGGTGTTTAAATTCTGTTTTAAGAGTCAAAAATCAATTAATTAAGATGCTCTCTGCATTGTAAGTTACAGGAAGATGTAGATGTAGAGCAGTCCAGAGAGCACCTTTCGACATAATGTGATATCTGATTTAACCAATCAAATTTATTTACTCTCTGACAAAATGCCAGCTCTGGCGAGGGCAGAAATTTGATTGGTCAAAACAGGGTTAGATCAAAGGAAAAAGGAACCAAAGTTTGGTCTAATTTTTATTAGACTGAACGAGTTCAACTTTATTCAATTAAAGATGTCTGTACTATTGTGTAAGGGATTCTTAAATATTTATTGCCAACCATGAAGAGTATTGCTTTAAAGAGGTAGGTAGACCATTGTTTTGACCAATCATACTTTACGAAGTTTTTTAAGGAATTGTGTTATTTTCGTACATTTCTAGTACTTCTGAAGACTATTTACATAAATTCAAGACTAAAATCAACCCCACCTGTCCCTTTAAACTTTAAATTGTGTTTGGGTTGGGTAACATATTATAAAAACTTTTGATACTAATAGGTCAAAATTCCAAAAAAAAACATTATTCAAATAAGAATCTCTTCAGATCATGGTTGTCAAGCGAGTTGTAATCTGTAGAAAAACGGGAGGCAAATTATCCAGATCATCATGTAAATCAGAATATGTTTTCAATCAAGGCTGTTTGTAAAATAATGTCTATGGTCTGATATGTTACAATAACTAACAATGCATATTTGCCAGTTTTTCTCTTTCTCTATTTTAGGGTGTGTAAGAATTCCCAGACAATTATATATACTCATGACATTCAGTTGTGTCGCAGTGTTATTTCTTGAATTCTGGTTGCCGCAGAGACATAACAGAAGAGACCTCAGTAATTTGTAAGTTGAGTTGAGAATTAAAGTAAAATTGCATTACAAATATTATCCTCTCTAAATAAGGACTGTTCTCAGAGCGTTTGCTATTTTGTTTGTTATTATAAACAATTCTGACCCAAAGCGATGATTCTTTAACCTTTTGGTGTTATTCTTTCTTTGGCGATTATACTTCAGCATTATATATAGATATCACATTATATAATTTTTTTCAATTTTTGTTTTGAAAACGAGATAAAAAAAAAATCCACTCTCATATGATCCAAATATTTTTGAGTCAAGTTAAGTGATCAAACCTTCTTTAATAAGAATACCCCCAAAATCACCCAGAACAAGTCATCACCACTGTTGTTCAAATATATGACAGTTATATCTTAGCGCTAATTGGCGACTAGATTTTAGCTGTGACTGGTAAATATTTCAATCCGTTCTAGGCTTCTGAACAATAACAAATGAAATAAAATTTTTGACAATTATTTTCTTTTTAAAATCAACATAAGCCCAGCACTCAGAATATGACCATCCTTTTGTAGGTTAAAGAACGACAATGAACGTCACCATAAAACTGCCATCACTGGAGTCGCGTACGGATCTTTTAAGCCAGATACGTGTTTATTCAGAAAATTGAAGCCTCACTGTTTTGATCCTAATGATGCTCATTATCTAAACCAGTCTCGGGATATTGACCAAGCATGCTTTCCAGAAGATGTCGTGTTCACGGATATTGGTTTGGATGATCCTTTCTTTCCTTCAACAGACCTAATGATGCCAATGGAAAAGGAAACTATGAATGACCCTGAATATTTTGACATGTTCAACACAGTCAGTCTTGAAAAATCTAAAGTAATTCTGGAAGAACCTAATAAGAGACATCACATTGGTGATGTTATAGGAGTACGAGTAGACCTCGTGAACAGATTGAGCAAACCGAGGACGTTAGGTGGTGATGACGTCAGAGCGTTGATGGTGTCTGAAGATAAGTTGTTGAGAACAGGTGGTAATGTAACTGATTTAAAGAATGGTAGTTATCAGATCACATTCGAGGCGTTACGGCAAGGAAATAACACGGTTATTATCACGATACCTTATACAAGGGAAATAAGAGCTACTATGTTTAAATGGCTTCGACGTCATAAAACTTTAATATATTATTTCGGAGTATTCAAGCGGAATGATGTTCAAGAATTCACTTTGTGTTCTCCTTATTCAACTATCCCAGGGTTCGTTAAAGTGTGCAATCTGACTGCTATGAACGATGACCTGCCTTGGTTCTGTGGTAGTCCCGTTACTCCGGAACTACCCTGTGACACTATTGTTAAGTCCGAACGTTTTGATTATGCAGAAATAACTGCAAATTATGCACAGTACTCGGCATTCTATAGGTAAGGATTTCTTAGTATCGTGCCATGTAGATCAACGTATAACTTTCAACCTGTTCAAAAAAGTTTGGCACCGTGACATTTCCTGTTCGTTAGAATTTCTGGAGACAGACTGTAGCTAAGAAATGCAGAACTTGGAATTTTGACTTGATTTCATCGAAAAATAATGGCGTTAACCGTTTCTAATCATCGGAGGCGTAAACTAAAGTGTCTCCGATACAAATACAAAAGTTAGAACTTTATTAAACAGGAGCACCAGGGCAATAAGTAGTAGACATGGCTATCAGTGAGTAATACTTTAAGAGAGCCCACATATAAGCTAGTAATTCTTATTAGGTGTGTTCAATATTCCATGGCATTTCAATACCAGTGTTCTCAATAGCTACACACAAATTAACGTAAAGCTCACTCAAAACATGTTTAATCTATACTTCTTAAACTTTTCAGATCACACCTGAAAACAAACTTAAAGTCGAGCATTACAGTTAACGTACATAAAGGTAAGTACTGTGTAGGTGCGTTCAGATGACATACAACCTGAGGTACAGAATACTACTGGTTGTGTTCTTTGTCGATCATTAAAAATCGGGGTTGTTCATGTTAATGGCATTGTCGGGTAAAATTTACCTTATGGCATATTGCATGATATGACTTTGTTCGTCTTTAAAGGTGCAGTACCTCTTAGGGTGACCAAAATATTTAAATGAGTCATTGTTTATCAGTGGACTTACCTGGTGTCAAAACAAGACAACAGAATCTTTTTATAATCCTTTAAAACCATAAAACTAAGTATGAATCAATTAAACTTAGTAGTTTTGAAACACCCTTAGAAGTGTTTTTCAATAAGTACTTAGTGTAATGGATATATCGTGTTATATAGAGATTCTATTCTGCAGTCCTGGAACCTGATCCAAAGTCCAAATGATTAATATAATACAGTCTTATTGACCAAGTTTAAGACTTTGAAAATTTATGTTCATTCTAAGAGGTAGAATTCCTTTAAAGGGACAGTATGCAAAATTTGCATTATCAAATACGTCGTAAATTATAAGATAAGCTTTTTGCATGTATCTACTTGATCAAACTGAATTTGTTTTGAAAGGGTTAATTAAGGATGGATTCTACCAAATAATTAAAGGGATTGTAAAGAGGTTTTTCAACCTATGTATGTTGTATATTTATCGGGTACACTGATAGCATCAATTTGCGTCATTCCGATTTTCAATCAGACATCTGTTGTTCCTAGTTTTAGTGGAATTGCTGCAACAACAGACGTCTGATTGAAAATTGGAGTGGTGCAAATGGATGCTATTTTGTGAAAACCTCTTTACAATCCCTTTAAATAAGCAGCATAAGCAAGTTTCGTTGATGGGCTACATTAATTAATGGACCAACTAAAGTCACTGTGAAACTAATATACATGTATGAATGATCAGGCGATGCTTGTCATAATACAACCAAGGGTTCATACTCTTAATTCGTTTGCTTAATTTCGAATTCATTATAAATTCCAGGTCATCAATCGAAACAGTCGAACAAAATAAACTGTAACAACAGAATAAATCCACGAGATACTTGGAATACCACAATGTCTACAGGTTACGTTTATAAACAACAGTGGATACAACGGAACTGTACAAACACCGTAACCAGGAAATCAGCGGTTCTATGTCTGGTAAACACCACTCTATTTTTAACTGGAGATTCCACTGTTCATCATTGGCTCAAATTTGTGGTAAAAATGACAAACAGTAAAAGAATGCCTCTTAAATGGGCGTTGAATTGGTGGACTGATAATGGGATTTATGTAAATAAACAATTGAATATAACAATCCAATGGGCACCGCATGTGCTGCCGTTTGTGCGTGCTAGGAAACTCCCAGATAGGCAGATGAATTTAAAATCAGTGAGCACTCATCTTAAACAACTTCCTACATCTGGCAGAATTATCTTTCTCATCCATTTTTTTGCTCATTTCACTAGACAGCATTATTCATTATTCTGGATTCATATCAGATCCTTAAAACCGGCCATTAGAGAAGCTTTGAATAGAAACAAGGATCTAAAGCTGGCTATAAAATCTCCACATATGTTTTACCGATCACCATGTTTACCAATTCTAAATGATCTTCAAGCTCCTATTTTTATTGACATCATCCAAGAGGAATTTGTAGAATTCAAAGACTCTATGATCTATCTGAACTATTGGGAAATGAATCATGTTCTTCAGAATGATGAAGTCCACCCCCCATATCCAATCATTTGGCAGAATTTAAGGCATCTTCTGAGTTATGTATGTTAAAACGAACGTTAATCCGTCGTCATTCACACAATTATTGGCATCGTCATCACAATATCATGATTTTTCATTTTCATTTGATTTATTTTAAGCAATTTATTTTACCAAGCTTGCATTAAAAAATTAAAAATAAGTCGAACCAGATAGTTGTTAAGTCTTACAGAAATATCAAGACAAAGATTCAACGAGTGACAGGCTAGTAAACCTACATTACCTAACATCACAATAAAATATTAAATGCATAATTTTGTGTCAGAATTATTCCGTAAAGACTATAAAGCTATGGCATATATTCAGGTCGCAATGTTACTACCACTTGACAAATAAATGTTAATTGCCGGAAGTAAAGAGTCTCGCCTTCATTATTGAGACAAATTTAGCTTTAGGATAGGCCTATTGCCGAATGCAATTAGAGTAACAATCCATATACTGCTCAGAACTTATCAGTTCCATATGCTTTAGTTTTCCGTGTTTCAATAAGAGTCAGAAAAGAACGAATCAAGGCTTCAAGTGGAGACTAATATGTTGGGGAGATTTCTTTCAAAGTTCGTCTTTTAACATAAACTGTCGTATTTGCTTACTGAGAGAGCTGTCTGTATCACTCATCATAATGAATATCTGACGTTTGGTTAGTCTGTAATTTATAAAGCCAGGAGCTGTGGATAAAATAAATGGCTTAAAAAAGGCCTAGTCATCCTCCTCTCCTTGGTTTAAATTTGTATTCTGGTGAACAGATAAGAGTGAGCTGTATAAACTCGAAAGTTAATTATTTACACGAGTAGCTGCCTTTAATTTAACGATCACCTTGACAGCAATACAATACAGTTACATTGTTTAAGAGGTTTTTTATTTGTAAGTTCAATGGCGGTGTGAAAGAAGATATATTGTAAGGCGTTCAGCCTTAAGGTCTCGATTAAAGGAGTCACAATTAAAGGGGCTTTATGATTTTTTTGTAGGTCGAAAATATCTATATTTATGAAAACTATACGCCAAAATGTAGAGGAATGTTGCCCGAAACGTATCTGAGTGTTTTAGCTAAAAGAAAATTACCTCCGTTAAGTTTGTAATGCCAATACTATTTAAAAAGTTTACGCAAAATTTTTAGATGTGAAATTCTGGTTGGAAGTTGTTGAAGAAAATTACCGATTTAAAGGGGCACCTTTACTATCAGTTGGACCAATCATACCTTAGTTTCAGAAACAGGAATTTTTTAACTTACATAATCAGTAATAGTGTTCACAGCTCATCGTTGAAATTTGAGCCTTCAAAACCATGTATATCCATAATTATTCAAGTTTGAAAGTTAAAAATTCGACTCGAATTTTAGTGAGATCATGCCATATATAGAAAACATAATCTATATAGGAATAGACAATGAAATTTACAGTTTGCGGTATATTTGAAGGAATTATGCGATTTTCGTGCGTTTTAGTACTTCTTAAGACTATTACAGCACATTCAAGACCCAAATCAATCCCCGAAAATGCCGACTGTTACCTAAGCAAAAAGATAATGCCTAATTGTAGAGAAATATGTTTCTTACGTATTCTAGAGGTTTCAACTAAAAATATCCTTTCTGAGACCCAAAACTACTTTAAGCTGCTTACTTAACAATTATTACACTCTGTTTTCAAACCCAAGTTTAATCAAGTAGATGCATACATATAAATAGCATATTTTAGAAAAATTTTCCGGTATCAATTGCGACGTATTTGATTTAATTTACATTTTGCATACTGCCCCTCAGGAGTGAAACACCCTAAACATTTCTAGTATCGTGGTTAAATGTACGGTCGTATATTTGTTTTGGTTACTATTTGTGTTTTGTAGATCAAGTTTTAGTGTTTCTTTTGTAAATTTGGAGGTCAATTGTTTGGTTATAAAAACCCACATAAACATTATTATATGATTGACTGTAAGTTATTGAAGAGCATTCCAATGAGGCCATACTAATAAAAAAAAATGATAAATTCATACATGCACTCTATGCCATTTTACCGTTTGAATAGTTTTGGTAACATGGCGCATGATCATGGCGTTACGATTTTTCATCAACAACTAAAAAATATAGAGCAATTTACAGAACTTCCATTAAGTGCGATGTAGTGATAAAAAGGTATACATAATGCATGAATTGTTTAGAAAGCTTACGTCATAATAATGCTTGGGATCGTCAATCATGTCACGATACGTATCGCGATACAAGGGTCACGATGCGATACATATCGCGATATGGGGTAATGGGATGAAATTTAACACTTCAGAGTTCATAACTTTATAACTGTGATATTTGGTAATATAGTTGATAGAAGTGGTTAGCGTCCACTGTCTTATAAAAAGTTTTCAACAATTTCAGTGAAAACAATTGTTATATCATGAAACAACTTATAAAATTCCGCACTTTTTTATGGAATAAAAGGTATCGCCAAGTATCGATACAAGATGTCGCGATACAATACTCGTATCATGGCATGTCATACCGCAATACATCGATATATCGTGCCAGCTCAGTACTCTGGGTTTCAGACACTTGCTAGCAGACCAAAGAAATGTGGTGATATTATAATTTTTTATTAATTTAATTTATTGTTCACATATTATGTCCATATTATCATATTATTTGATATGTAGGCCATATTATCATATTATGGTATATTGTTGCTCAGGGCAAAATGGTAAAGAGGCCGTAGGCCTAATTTTGCACCCTTGTTATTAAAGATTTTAATATCATTATTATTATTATAATAGAACCTTCAAGTTTCAAACTCAATTTCCTTCATTCATTATACGCAGGTTGATGTGGCTGACATGGAAAAATGTTCAAGTAGGTAGTAGATGTAAATTCATTTGTGTACGTGGAGTACACTGATATCGCTGCCCTCGTACACACTTGTTATTAATCGTCTTCATTAAAACCCATTTTCAATTCAATAATTACTGTGAAAAACCCCACAAGGACTATATTTTGCAGGTTGTTTTCTTTTTTGTATTGCCTACTAAGTAACGATCACTATAATACACATAAATATTTGTATGAATTGATAACATTGCTATAAAAATAGGTCTGAATAGTCCCCATGGTTGCCCATAGTACATCATTGTTAGCTACACTTTATAAATGTCGAGCTCTGAGTCAATTTTTCCATATCCTATTTAAGAATTTGGTTGCTCCTTATCGGACAATATACAAATTTTTGCACAAGATGAAGACTTGCTTTGCTCTCGTTGCTTTGGTTGCAATCTGCTGTGGTATGTCATTTTGTTCTAATTTTTTCTAATATCTGTATTTTGTACTAAAAAAACTACAAAAAACGAACTATTGCATAGATTGACCTTCTCCTCAAGATAGGGTATATGCGGAAACTTCAAAATAGGCATAGCTCTAAAATTATTCCTGCTTTTGATCACGGATTTTGCATGTTGATATTCTGAAGTCAAGTTTTGTTTTCCAATATTAGAGAGTATATTTTGTTTTAATTAAAAGCTTATAACATTCAGTTTTATCTCTGCATTTTTAAAGGGTTATAAAAGTTTGGTATATTATTTTTTTGTTATTAAATTTTCAGTTGAAGGTTTTAACTACAACCAGCTTTGTGACGAAGGTAAGAAAATTTTTGTTATATTTGTATTCGAATAACCAGCGTTTAGGGTGAATTTTCTTCTTTTTTTCTCGGTACAAAATTTCAATAACATTTTTACTAGAGACAAGCTAAGAACTTTATTAGCAAACTTTCGATCGTAGTTAGTATCTACAACATAGGCAACGATGTAAATTCTTTATGTTCTTTTGCCTTCTTCTTGGTGTACGTTCTCATTGACACTATAAGATATGTTTAACGTCGTTGCGTTACGTTTGTAAAGGGGCAGTATGTACAATTACAAAAACGTCCTAAAACTATAAAGTATGATATTTACATCTTTGCATCTATCAATATCAATTTGTTTTAAAGGGTTAATTAAAAACGGAGCACTTATTGTTAATTTAGCAGTTTGGCCTAGTTTCGGCTTTATTGTGGCTCGATATCAATAGTTGAAACCTTTAGAATAAGTATTAAAGGGACATTCCGCTTTTTTGTAGGTTGAAATTTTTTTTGTTCAAATTTGTGAAAACTATACACCAAAATCTAGAGAAATCTGCTCTTTTAACGTATAAGAAAGTTTTAACTAAAAGAATCCAGCCGAAAATCTTTAAACGCCAAAAATATTTAAAAACATTACGTAAGGTTTTTAAGTTCGTTATTCTTTTTAGAAGCTGTAAGAAAACTACTGTACGGATTTGAGTAAAATAAACGTTTAATTGTAGAGAAATATGTCTCCTACGTATTCGAACTAATAATATCGAGCCATTATAAAGCCAAACATAAAGCTCCGTTTTTAATTAACCCTTTTAAAACTTATTCAGTTGATTGATCAAAAAGGTACAGAGATATAAATAGCAGACTTTAGAAATATTCTCAGGGGAGCCCAAATCACTATTAAAAATAAGATCTCAATCCGGCCAAATGCGTCTGTTTACTGACAAGTTAACAAATCTACGAAATCTTTACACAATAATTATAGAATTTGGAAGAATAATGGTCGACGTACCATTCAGTAGCGAGAAATTCATAATGTGAAAGAAAACAACCCATTGCTTATAGTGCTCATTTTTTTAATTTATTTATAGAAACACCAACCTGCCCAGATGGTTATTCCTGGACTCAGTGGTACAACAGAGATACATACGGTGGAAGCGGAGACTGGGAAACATTGACCCACCTGAGAGCTGCAAACCCAGGAATCTGTGAACACCCCGTTGCTTTGGATGCTTCAACAGTCAGCGGTCAATCAGTTGCTTCCCAAAATCAAGTCGTCCATTACTCTCTGACTGGTGGTTTCTGGTGCATCAACTCTGAAAATGTGGGATATTGCAAGAATTATCGTGTCAGATTTTGTTGCAGAGATTCGTAAATTAATTTTGTTGTCATCCAACATTCTGGATTTATTAAATATCTATAGATTGCATGATGTAATTTCATACTTTTGTTTTCAATAATTGTTTGTTGGCAATGTTTTTCTTTCAAGATTAAAACTTAAATCTGTATTTACCTGACTGAATATAACGTCTTCAATAAGAATTGTCCAAATATTTTATACTATACTACGAATCGTCTGATCACCCTCAAAAACATTTCAAAAATTCCCTCGGGGTAAATTATCCCCTGGTTGAAAACCCCCGACTTAGCTGCATGGGCAAAGTCAAAGTAGATTATTATTTATCCTTTGTTTCGTTTGCAAAATTTACACAAACCTTTACGGAGATATATTGATATATTTCATATACCAAAAGTTGACAAATATATGTGGAAGAGCGGGAGTACCATGTTTACCATGGACGATAACTCCCCTCCCAGGAATAATCAAGAAATAATGGTGAGAAAAATGGCCAATGGGTGGATGGTCACTCTTTTTTACCGAGTTGCTACAAGTGACTGCGCAGAACTTCAATTTAGATTCAAACCCAAATATTTCTGATGTCTTATCCATATTCCCACTATAACCCGCACTTTGGTCATTAAAGGGGAATAACTCATAACATCAAAAGTTGATCCATTCCGTGTTCAATATAAGAATTAAAATAGAAATACAAATATTAGTATAATAAATTAACGATCCGCAATACGAAACCCGAAATCCAAAACAACATGTTATAGCTATACAAAAAAGAAATTGGAAGGTTTTCTAATCTTTTATGTATATCGGGGAAACCGTTACTATCAATTTTCAATCAACAGACGTCTGTTATCTTCGTTTAATGACGTAATACATGTATACTTATAACAGCTTTTGATATGGTGACGTCAAAAAACGTTTAGTTTTTGCTGGAGCCACATACAAATTTAGAAAACCTCTTTAAAACTTGCTCTATCGTATACGCCCTAAAACGTCACAATTAGTCGAAATCGTCGTCTGATGCAAGTAATTAATTTTTTTCAACTAGTCGAAATTGCAATTTTTTCAACTTGTTGCAAAATGCATTCACAATCTACTAGATTCAGTAACAATTTCATTTGTGATAGACTTCGGGATCTAATATCGTACAAATAAGATTAACCAAGTTTCACTGCATTCCTTTAAATTTCGCCGCGTTGAAGGGCAGAGAGACTGAACGACGACAACTCCATGCTATAATATATAATCACTGTGTAACAAAATACACCAAAAGACTGTATAATATGAGTCAAGGTGTATAGAATTATTATTAAATAATGATATTTTGTGTGTGTATATCAATATATAGGTGGGGTTAATCGGGTGCATTTGGTATTATTTCTCGAAATCAAATATTTGGCCACATTGAGGCTGGGAAAATAATTTAGAATAGGAATGCTCGTCATGAGATAGAAAACCTCTGCAAAAAAAAAACCCTAAACGAAAAGTGTTAATTTGTAGGCCTAAAGTAGGCCTCACATGATCTTGCATGAAAGCAGGTCGACCATATACTGATAGGAAAATGTATCAGATCGGCTTAAATTCACCAATTGGCGAGAATTGGCCTGTATGATGTCCTAATAATGCCCTGTATCTTTTTTTTAGATTGTCTCAACTCGGTCCTTATCCTTGTTTTTGAGCCGAATATTTACAAACTTGGCAAAAAATTCACGAATTACGAAACACCAAATATTGATATATAGAATGTAATTATCTTTTAGTCGACACCAGTAAAGGTGTTATTTCTTAATTCATTTTAATTTCAACTGTGACGCAACGAAAAAACATGGAGCCGCGGTGACTCACAGACCTGAAGGTCCGGTGTTCAATCCCGGCATAGGTCGAGATAATTCCTTTGAATTTTTCAACCCGGTTTCTCCCTGTCAGTGATGCAGGTAAGAGGGGTTGACATGGAAAAACCGCCTAGTCGTTCGGATGGGACAATAAACCGAGGCACTGTGTGCTACAGGATATGCACGTTAATGATCCCTCGACAGTTGGAAATCAAAAAAGAGCAGGCTAATGCCGCTGTCCTGGCAATTTTTCCCTCATTGCACCCTGCATGGTGTTGCCCGTCTTCATTAGCCCACATGGTACAGAAAAGTACGACGTAAACTTCATTCATTTTCATGTCATACTGCCTCATGTTGTCGAGCATCTTGTGTTCCTTCGCGTGTTTAGCTGAACTTACAACTGATTTTTCCGTGATAATCTCTACTCTTTTAAAGCTGGATCCAATGGTTTAGAATGGTTTAGCACCCAACCCCAATGTTAATAGGTGACTGTAATCTGGTCATGATAATTCGGTCAAATTTCTCCGTTCAACGTGGGACTCAAAATACAGTTAACAAAATATTTGTTAAACTAAATGACTCTAGCTTCACTAAAGCTCATATTTTTCTGTGCCTTATTAAAAATCATATCAAAGTTAAATTCAAGTGTTATTTTATTTGATTGTCACACCTTTCTCTGTAAAAGTTAAACTAAACAAAGAAGGAGGGGTAATATTGTTATTGTTCATAATAGAATGGGTGGTCGAACGCCTTCATCTACATAAATTACTAATTGTTGTGTTGGGTAAGACAGGTTTAATTTTACAGCTTAAGTCATATTATTTTCATTTCGTCAATTAAGACGTCATCAAACCTAGGTAAAAGTTACTCATCCCATTACGTCATTTTAGTATTATTTCTGAGACTGATTTTGGAAGTTTTTTTTTTACAAAAAATAGCTACACTGTCAATCTTGAAATGTTGATATGCAAATATAAGAAAAAGTAAAAGAAAAATCATATTTGTAAAAATCGAAGAAAAATTAAACTTTTAAAAATCGAAGAAAAATTTAATTTTTGAGAATTAAAACAACATTAGATATGTGTTTTTTTTTTCTTTTTTTGATCATGCCTTTTGTTAAACAGAAACTAAATTTGGAATGGACTTGCAATGAAAGAAGAACATGGTATTCGATTTTCATTCTATATTCATTCATTCATTATAATATGAAATATACACATAATAATTGGAGGACTTAATCACAAGAAGTCTGTTCAACCGAAAAATTTACAGTTTATATTAATTTAATTGCAGTGTGAATCTGAAATCGGTTTTTAGTTTTCAGTTAAACGCTATCAGTTTGTTTGCGGAATGTCGGTAGTTGGTATTCCTGGTCGTCTCGTCTTTAATTTCAAAAACTGTCTGAAAACAGCATGGTACTCAAACGAATTTGACGATGACATTGGCAAATTCCTATTGAAAGCCTTATTGATATTCTTATAAAGCGGTAAATTCGCAAGACCTTGACAAATGTAGGAGCAAGATGTCAGAAGAATTATTTCAACCAGACCTTTGTTAAAAAAAACATGAATAAAAAGTTGGTCTTTGACATTTTTCCGAATTTCGTTTGCATTTTTCAACGTTCTTTTTTGAATATATTCTTATAGGGTGTTTGTACATTGTTTAGATGAAGATGCGTGTGATCTTGTTCTCGAAAGATAACTAAAACCAATGCCATGGTATAGAGTCAATTACCAAGTGTGAAATTGAGCAAGAGATGTTCTACATCAGTTAGAGTTAATAATTGAAAACTTACTGAATTCAATATAGATATTCAAAATTCGCATACTCAATAAAAACGGACCAGATCAAATCATATCCAAATCCATAGCAAATCTAATTTTTCTTCTGTTCTGGTCTGAAATTCGATTGTAGCTTTAATGAAAAATAAAATCAATAATGAAAATTGATCAAATAGAATTAGATACAGTGCAAATATTTCATGGTTTTCAAAACGTTGATAACAATTACGTGTGATCCCTTTGACCAAATTAATCATTTTTTTTAATCTAATTTATGGCTTGATAAGAAAAAAAACTTGTTAAAGCCCATCATTTTACTAAAAAGCTACCAAAATGATAAAAAAAATGTTTAGTATATTCGGCACAGTACGCTTACGGTATATAATCCTACGCCCCCAAATTCTAAGTTGTTTACAGTAGTTGTCCAGATCTGTGCTTGGTACAATGGCATTTTTATGTGTTCAACAGTATTGTGGTATCAAACTAGTATTGATATATAAGAAGCAGTATTATGGTATCAAACTAGTATTGGTAAGTATCAAACTAGTATTATGGTATCAAAATAGTTTTGGTAAGAATCAAACCAGTATTATGGTATCAAACCAGTATTATGGTATAAAACTAGTTTTGGTAAGAATCAAACCAGTATTATGGTATCAGACTAGAATTGATAATTATGAACCTCTCAGTATTATGGTATCAGACAAGTATTGATAATTATCAACCTTGCAGTATTATGGTATCAGACTAGAATTGATAATTATCAACCTTACAGTATTATGGTATCAGACTAGAATTGATAATTATCAACCTTGCAGTATAATTGTATCAGACTAGAATTGATAATTATCAACCTTACAGTATTATGGTATCAGGCTAGTATTTATACTTAACAACTTTACAGTATTATGGTATCAGACTAGAATTGATAATTATCAACCTTGCAGTATTATGGTATCAGACTAGAATTGATAATTATCAACCTTGCAGTATTATGGTATCAGACTAGTATTGATAATTATCAACCTTACAGTATTATGGTATCAGACTAGTATTGATAATTATCAACCTTACAGTATTATGGTATCAGACTAGAATTGATAATTATCAACCTCTCAGTATTATGGTATCAGACTAGAATTGATAATTATCAACCTTGCAGTATTATGGTATCAGACTAGTATTGATAATTATCAACCTTGCAGTATTATGGTATCAGACTAGTATTGATAATTATCAACCTCACAGTATTATGGTATCAGACTAGTATTGATAATTATCAACCTCACAGTATCATGGTATCAGACTAGAATTGATAATTATCAAACTTACATTATTATGGTATCAGACTAGTATTGATAATTATCAATATCACAGTATCATGGTATCAGACTAGAATTGATAATTATCAACCTTACAGTATTATGGTATCATTCTAGTATTGATAATTATCAATCTCACAGTATTATGGTATCAGACTAGAATTGATAATTATCAATCTGACAGTATTATGGTATCAGACTAGAATTGATAATTATCAACCTTATAGTATTATGGTATCAGACTAGTATTGATAATTATCAACCTTACAGTATTATGGTATCAGACTAGAATTGATAATTATCAACCTTACAGTATTATGGTATCAGACTAGAATTGATAATTATCAACCTTACAGTATTATGGTATCAGACTAGAATTGATAATTATCAACCTTACAGTATTATGGTATCAGACTAGAATTGATAATTATCAACCTTACAGTATTATGGTATCAGACTAGAATTGATTATTATCAACCCTACAGTATTATGGTATCAGACTAGAATTGATAATTATCAACCTTACAGTATTATGGTATCAGACTAGTATTGATACTTATCAGAAAAGTATTAAGTTATCAGACTAGAATTGATAATTATCAACCTCACAGTATTATGTTATCAGACTAGAATTGATAATTATCAACCTTACAGTATCATGGTATCAGACTAGAATTGATAATTATCAACCTTACAGTATTATGGTATCAGACTAAAATTGATAATTATCAACCTTGCAGTATTATGGTATCAGACTAGAATTGATAATTATCAAACTTACAGTATTATGGTATCAGACTAGAATTGATAATTATCAACCTTACAGTATTATGGTATCAGACTAGAATTGATAATTATCAACCTTACAGTATTATGGTATCAGACTAGTATTGATACTTATCAGAAAAGTATTAAGTTGTCAGACTAATATTGTAAATTATTAAGCAGTATATTAAGATTTAAAGAGTTTAGGAAAACGAAAGTCTGTTCAAACGGACAATTTACAGTTTATATTTATATAATTGCTGTGTGAATTTGAAATAGGCTTTTAGTTTTCAATTAAACACATGTTAACCTAGGATAATATCGGCTAGCGTGCGTTGGCCTACGACAGCCCTACGACAGAATCGGGAGTGATCGGAAGATATCTGGCATGTTTGATCGAAAGACCTGCGTGCGGGTGTTCTCGATAAATTGTTGTGACCCAGTTAAAGGTCAACCAATAGAATTCCATGTACGTATCGCATGCTCTCTTCTGTATGACATAATATTACGGTAGCTAAACAGAAAACTGACCAAGGCACCCCAGTGGCGATAAAAAAAAATCGACAAATGTGCGTCGGCCTTAAGGGAAGAATTAGATGACTATATACCTTTAATATTATAGCTTTAAATAATATCTCTTCAAATTACGATTTCTTAAAATCAATATTGAGATGAAAAACATAAATTTGATATTAATTAAATTTTATAAGTGGATCGGCTTGACAAACGTATAAAAACCAATGGGTACAATTTTCTGTGTCCTTTGAAGTTGAATTTCTAACCACAGGTGACCATCAGGAAAGGAAAAGTGAAGATATCTAAGGCAAGTCTGGTATTTTTTAAAAGTTTTAATTCACATGTAGAGACGAAACGGATAAAGTCTAAAATGTTCGTACTTAAATGCGCCAAGACAGCGTAATAGGGAAATTTGCATACATGTAATTATTGATGATTTTTGGACTTTTATACTTTGTTTACTAAACGCCAAATTAATAATGCTAAGCGACATCAAAAGAAGTGATCGGCTCAGTTTTTTGTTATATAAAATAAATATAAAACTAGTTTTGTTGAAAGGAATTAACTGCTCTATAACTTTCGTTGAAATGTTCACAACAAGTAGAAAAACACAGTCATTTCCTTACTTGCCATTTATTTTGATCGAATGTGAGCATAAGTTTTCCAACACCAGCCAAAATCATATCACATTTATAATGTTTACGTAAACCTATCAATTAGATTTGGCATTTCAAAACAAATAACGTCAAGATTCCTTTTAAAATTTCTATATGTTGTAATATAAGGGATATTTTTCTCCAGAATTAAAACTTTAGTTTCATTAATTCGAAACATTTTCAAAACATATCAGACTGCCCCTTTAAGTAAAATGAAAATCTTTGTACTTGGCATGAATATACCATCGACTGATCGAGGCTTAGACCTTTTATCGTTCTTATACTTCATTTATATATTTCTCCTTTTCGTTTTCTCTTTTCCAAGGGTTTCAGATAAAATAGTCGAGTCTTGGGAAAGCGTTTTCAGCTTTTGATAATGAAATACAGTTTCTGTATAGGAGATTTTCAACAATACTTCCTTCGCCTTGTTTATTCATTTCGACGCTACGCGAAACGCTTTTTAAATTAACAGGTTTTGGTAAGGGAAATGGGTCTTGCACTACCTGTAGTTTTGGTGCGACATTGCGTTGGTGGAAAACAGATTGAAAAAAAGCAAGTTTCTACCATCATGTATGGACCCCCCCTATAGGCACAATTTTGAAAACTATTTAAAATTATTTGGTTTTAACGAATTAGTAATTTCGTTCATAACTTTTCGTTTCAACGAATTAGTTATTTCGTTTAAACGAATTACTTATTCCATTTAAACGAATAAGTTATTTCGTTAAAACGAATTAATTTCGTTTAAATGAAATACATTACATGTATATTATTCCATTTAAACGAATAAGTTATTTCGTTAAAACGAATTAATTTCGTTTAAATGAAATACATTACATGTATATTATTTCGTTTAAACGAAATACATTGTTTTATTTCGTAAAAATTAAATAATTTATTCGTTTAAACGGAATAACTAATTCGTTTTTAGGAAATAACTAATTCGTTTAATCGAACGAAAAATTAGAATGTCCCCTATACACACAAAAAGGCTAAAAAGCTCTTTACAATCCCTTTGAATAATTTTATTGTAATACACTAACTAATTTGAATTTAGTTCATTAATTAATCAATTGAAAATTTGTTTTCTAGAAAGAAAATGAGGTTCAATATTCTATGCGTTGTGTTATTGGTGGTGGTTAATATGGTCATGGTTGAATCCACCTTCAGTAGGAGTAAGCTGCAAAGATTTCTTATTAAAGTTAACTCGTGGAAGAAAAGCAACAGTAAAAGTCAACCAGTACAAAGTGTGCTCTCCCATCTTCGAAACAAGGTTTACTTAATATTTAAACATAAACATACATGTAAGTAATAATGAGAATTACTAAGTAAGTAAGACTATGGTTGGTGGTACCATATTTACTTGTTTCTCCAAATTACATCTATTTTTAAGCAGTCTATTTAAAATTAGGTTACTTGTTAGACAAACAGAGTACTTCAAAATCAGTCAATAATTGAAATTAGACCAAACTCTCGTTTCGTTTTTTTCATTAGTTTTTTTTATATAGTCAAAAGGTAATTTGACTAACGTTCATGAGGGCTATCGTTAGACCCTAACTGAAGTTATATTAGATATAAAAGCTAATAAAAAATTAGACTGATTTTTTTCATTACCATTCACTACCAAGTAGAAAAAATCGAACAAAATTATGAAACATGCAATAATTGAGCAGTAGACATCAAATTCAATATCTCAATTTCTTGTTACTTGAATTCGTGTCTCGACCTTCCTTTGATGTTTATTAAACAAAATGTTATTTATAATCGAAAAAATGCGTTATGGCATATTTGCAATTTTGGGCACAATGTTTAATCCATTCCCATTGGGTGAATGGATTTAAGAACAACTTCCAAATTTCACACTGCGGAGACTCAAAGATATTTGTAATATTGTCAAGTTTAATTGTTATTTTGTTTAATGCAGCATCCAAATCCAACCAATTACCAGCAAAAGACTCTTCAGAAGATTGTGATGACGTAATTGATGCCATTGAGGAACTATATAAAGACTTATGTACCGTCAGCTGTTATAGAAAAGATTACTATTGTAATTTGGTTGTACAGAGATACATCAAACCATTATGTGTCTATCGAAATGCCCAGAAAGCTGCTAAAGCCCTTTTAGCCAAAATAGGATGCAAGCAGATGAGTTATCGTAAAAAACTTATTTGTAAAACCAAGTCTAAAAAAGCTTGCGAATTGGCAGAAGAAGTCGCAGATTTTTGCGAAGCAGCTGATCAAGATTGTGACAAAAAACCAGCCGCTCCGAATGCTGTAGCGCCCACAGGAAGAAAAACAGCAGCCAAGCCGACTGCTCCTGCAGCCCCAGCTGCTCCGACTGCTCCTTCAGCCCCAGCAGCTCCAACTGCTCCGGCTGCCCCAGCTGCTCCGGTAGCCCCAGCAGCTCCGACTGCTCCGGTAGCCCCAGCAGCTCCGACTGCTCCGGTAGCCCCAGCAGCTCCGACTACTCCGGCTACAACAACAACCACAGAGTCAAAAACAACATTAAACCCGGGTCCCTTGGCATCAGATTTCAGTATGTATTGCAATAATTACTTTGTAAACTAACACATGAAAGGGTATGGAACCAAGGAGATTCGATTTGATTTAATTATGTCAAATTCTTTCCTTGTACTACTATCATCTCAAAGGTCATCATATGATTACGATAAAAGGTGTTTTAACCCAGTTATTTCCCAAGTCTTGTTCAAAACAGGTCAAATTGGATTGGACTTACAAAAAATAATCCACGAACTTTTGATCTTGATTGCGTTGCTGCTGTCGTGGAATTTGTATCCTTGATCGACATGGTCATGGTGTTGGGTCAAAAGGTTGATTTGACTGACGTTCAATAGGCTGTCGTAATAAAATAACGGAACAAAAGTGTGGTCTCTATATTAAAAATAAACGCTAATAAAAAAAACTGAACAAAATAATGATGCCCATTTGTTATCTTTTTAGAATGTGATTCCTTTTATGGCAAATGCTATCTCGCAGGATGTCCTTCACATTTATCTGTAATTGATGCTTGTGAAACAAGCGGTTATACTTGCTGTGAGTATTCATTAAATAATAAATTACAATTTCTGCGCAATGAAGTAGAACCTAAAATTTCTTTTTTTTTCATTCCAATTCACCAATGAAGGCAATGCATGCATACAGAATATTGTGTGTGTAGTGCAATGTCTTTTTGTATAGAGTAGTGTCATATTGTTTAGAGTAGTGTTGTATTGTATAGAGTAGGGTCCTCTTGTATAGAGTAGTGTTATATTGTATAGAATAGGGTCATCTTGTATAGAGTGGTGTTATATTGTATAGAGTAGCGTTATATTGTATAGAGTAGTGTTATATTGTATAGAGTAGTGTTATATAGAGTAGTGTTATATTGTATAGAGTAGTGTTATATTGTATAGAGTAGTGTTATATAGAGTAGTGTTATATTGTATAGAGTAGTGTTATATTGTATAGAGTAGTGTTATTTTGTATATAGTAGTGTTATATTGTATAGAAAAGGGCCATCGTGTACAGAGTAGTGTTATATTGTATAGAATAGGGCCATCGTGTATGGAAAACAATTACCATATGGTATAGAGTGGGGCTATATTGTATACCAGTGCTTCTAAACTTCAGTGAAATCATTCTTTCATGGAAAAGTTCTTTTCCTTCCCAAATTAAATCAGTTATTTCGATTCACATAATATAGAACCACTATATTATAGTGGTTCTATATTGTATAGAATATCAATGAGCGCAGTACTATATTGTAACATCATTTTTTAGATTGCGATGTTTGCAATGCCATTTATTGTCGCATGTAGAACAGTGAAGATGAAAATGTAATGCCATATTGTATAAAATATATAAGTGTCCCATGCAATGCCATGTTTCTTCGCATCTAAGACAGAAAGTTCTCAGCTTTATTCGAAAAAAAATTAATGAAATAAAGAAATATTAAAATAAAACTAAACGAAGCGAAATATCTTGTGCTCTATTTTGATTCAAATTTAGAATGATCTAAGACAGAAGAAATTCTTTTATTCAAAAAATATATCTTGCGTCTTAAAAAATTGTGAATTGTATACTTTTGTATTTTTTGCAGGCAACTAAAACCGGCTCAAGAAGAGAACATACTTGTCGTAGATTTTAGATTATTATGCAAAACTAATTGTAACGCTTGAATAAAGTTTTACTGAAATTCCTTTTTTTTCATGCTACAAGGTGTTAAGCGACTCCTCGGTAGTGATGGAATAGAACCACAATTACAGAATGACTCAGGTCAACATTTTGATGCAATCTGCTTCGTCGTTTTTGTTCATGTGTGTGTCCGTTAGTATACATATTATCTAAATCATATAACGGGATAGGTTTGTTTAATTGACATCTTGCGTTCTGTGTGTTCAGATATTCATATAATATCATATACTCTTTCTATAAGCACACGAAAGACCTCTCGGATATGCATTATATTTGCATTTCACTAGTAATAGTCAAATAAAAATCGTTTTGCTCATTCACGTTCTTATTCAATTAGGGGATTAGTCAAACCTTCTAAATGTTTTACCTTGTATACCTTTGAAAATATAATTGAGTGGTGTTAATGTTTTATCGGTACCTGTGTTTTACAATAAACTACGATATCGTTCACTGGTTTGAACTTAAACATTGTTCTATTGTTTTTCACACAGATGAGTGGGGCATTTCTACAGCTCTCTTGTTACCAATTTTCTCTGTATCCAACAAGATACATTAAAGACAATTTCTACAGACATTTCAAGATACTCTGTGATTATAGAATAGACATACATACATAGAAATAGTTAGTAAAATTCCAAGTTTGAGACAATTTTGAACGAATTATGCGATTTCGTACTTCTGAAGACTATTTACAAATTTTCAAGGCTAAAATCAACCCCCCAAAATGGCGCATCTGTCTCTTTAAACAAAATGTCGAGTAACATATTGACAAAATCGAAAATAAACATGATTTCTTTAAAAATTTGTCATGTTTCTTTTACCACTGAAATAAAAGCAGGACATTTATTTTATGCATTATTATTATGTAATGCTATTATCCGTAACAGTAATGATTCTTATTGATGCGCGCAAGTTTTGATTTTTACTATCTGATAGTGGTAAATGTATTTCTTGCTATGAATAAAGGTGAACTTGGTAACCCAGGTAAAAAAAGTTTTTAATCAAATGATATCAGTAAAATTAAGAGAAAGCCTTTATCTAGCCAGGCACTGTCTTGCCTGAATACTGTTCTTTTCAATATCAAGCACTTAAAAAAATAAACATCATCGTTTTGAGACTTCAATTTTGACAGTCAATTTGGATCATTTCAACAAATCACACTGTCTAAAGACACAATCTGAAGAATCAAAATGAGCATAAAACATGAAAACGGCCTTATGAATCTACGCATTATTTGCCTCACTTTGCATTTCGCTTTGTCTGTTTAGCTAGCGAAACAGCATTAGTTCTTAGCAACATTCATTCGGCAGATTGTTTAAGAAAAAGCCCCTTGCTTATGAAATTCTTTCAAAATCTTAAAGCAGTGAGGTTTTGTTGTGAATAATTTTGGTTTTTGGCCAATTCTAACTTTGTAGTATTTGGACTTTGAATGGCATGAAATTCGTCATGTCCTTTGATAACGATCGATAAAAATCTTTAATGCTGTATTTTGATGATAATCTGCTACACTGAAGGACGGGAGAGCCATACCCATTAACTTTATTGTGGTACAACATGGCATCGTAGAATAGCTTGAATGGTTCAGATTTGTTTGAATACCAAAATGTATGCTAAATTTGGTGGTTGCCATGATCAAATTTTCTAATTCTAGCGATCAAGAAAAAACTACCTTCATTACCATAAAACGTTGAATTTTAAGTCTGGACCTAACTGTGTGGCTAAGCTTTTTGTGGGCATGAATGGTGCTATTGTGCATTCGGTGAGGTTCCATACTCGCCTTTGCATTTTAGGTGAACTGTGTTCAGTCATAATATATAAGTAGACATTGTGATAATAAACATTTTCACTGTTTAAATAGTACTCAATACATCAATTGTAAAGAGATAGATATAGAAATATTAAAACAGAACCTTGTCTACAATTCGTGGCGAGTTCGGATTGTTCCTGTCTCGAAGTGTAGACATGAGAACAAGTTCTACTTCAATTATTGTACTCTGTTTTTGTGTAGACATTGCTTCAATCATAGAATACATTGAACCAGTAACATGTTGCTGACTAATACAGTGTACAATTTAAAACCATCTCTTACAAGTCATTAAGAAATGAATTTTATGCCTGGCCAAACATGAAATATGAATAACATTTCGGCCACGTTTTTCGCTTTTGATAATACAGTACTATGATGGATCCCCTGTTCTGTTCTCTAAGTATTTTGCAGTATTGTTTGAAGACAAACAATTGGTTTTTAAGCAAGAAATCCCTACTATATCCAATAAAATGTTAATATATCCAGGTCTGCTCAGATTCGAACTGATCTAATATAAAGAAAATATATAAAACTACACACAACATGTGATAAAAATCTGACAACAACCGCATTCATTATATCAAGGGCTGTAACTCGGTCAAAATAGCGGGATATTTTAAAATTAAAACATTCACATAAGTCCAGGGACACATCCTTTAAGAAGGATATGCTTTTTCAACTGACAGAGTTCAATTCCTGAAAGTGCTGACAGTCTATTCATGTACTTTAATTTTCAGGAGCACCTACCTGGAATTGAAATTAAAGGATTAATACCAGTGTCAGTTTTGCAATGGTATTCAGTCCGATCATTTTTTCGGTAAATGAAAATATTTATCATTTTTATCAAATTTTACATTTTGGTTGATTGGCAACAAAACGAGTTTCTTGGAGGGACGAGTGTTTGTTTTATGTACAGTTTCAGAACGTTATGTTTTCTGAGTCTATCCAGTCTGAGACTTACCGTTGTTTTTAAAGCATATCATATAACAATTGTTTTTATCAAACAAGACAACAGTAAACGATTTCTAAACAAAGTTAATTCAGCTTCAAAACTAGCATAATTCCAGTTCTTTCAGCTGCTATAGCTTAAATTTCGGTGACTATACTTCTTTAATATCAAAAATTTCCCTTTAAATTAAGATGTCTCTAAATCAATATTGAGGTAAATAACAATTAATTATAATTTTAATTAAGTTTATTAATTGGTGAGCTGGACAAACCTATATAAACCGTTGTATGCGATCTTTTATGTATATACTCTCAAATTCCGATCACAGGGTTGACAGTCAGCACAGAAAAGGTGAAGATATCAAAGGCAAGTTTGACGTTTGAATTTTTTTTGTTCATAATTTTCATATATATGTAAAGACCAGGGATAAAGTCTGCTTGGAATTCTTGATGGTGTTACTGGAGTTATAATTCCAAAATACTATTTTAAAGCGTCATTATACGGACATTCAATACATTTATATTTGATGGTATGGTTGTTCATACTTGGCAACATGACAAAATCTGACTAAATTAAGAGACAGAATCAGCCTATGGGATTGCACACGGCGTGGCTTGATTAGGAGAAATGATATAGTAAGAGAACACAATTGTTCCCGAAACGATTTGGTTACCAGCCAATCTAATTACAAATAGATTACAATTTCGCTATTGTCCATTCTCCATTGTTGGGTATCCCGCAATTCATAGTTGATATTTAGATACGGATTCTCCGTGGACTGTTGACGTGCATTTAAACCAATTACAGAATCCGTATCAAAATATCAACTGTGGGATAGCAAAACCCCCAAAATAGCGATATGACGAATGAGTTATGAGATTGTCGGTACTCGCTTGTAAAACTGATTCCGATTGACTGGAGAGTGACGCGTTATTGGCTGATATACAAAGCTTTTAGCGTCACCAGTACTCGATCGTAGTATAAATCTCGTTACAATGGAGATAAAAAACAAATAATAATAATAATAACGAAACGAAATTCTAATTTAAATGAGATTGGTTACTTGTCGGAATAGTTGTAGTATTATCAAGTAAAATGCGAGTAACAATACTTGAACAGCTGCATTACCTTACTCCTTTTTCTATATCCAACTGTCTTGGAATCTTTAAGATGTACAAACTGTATCTCGGTGCTCGGTATATAGTTCCACCCAAACAACTAAATGTTTTGAAAAGCAAGCTAACAACTCAACGAGCATCGACAAACTGAACATTATAGGCATACAGCAACAAATTTTATTCTCTTACTTAAGTGATTTTTTGAAAAATTTAGTAGTCTGCATGTAATATTAAATAATCGAATCAAAAATATGTTTTCTAGAAAGAAAATGAGGTTCAATATCCTATGTGTTGTGTTATTGGTGGTAGTTTGTATGGTCATAGTTGAATCTACCTCCAGGACAAGTAAGCTTTTCAAAGTAAACACAATGAAAAACAACAGACTAAACATAAACGAACTTCTCAGTCCGAAAGGTGTTATTTTGTGTGGTATAAAACTAATTGCCATATTAACCATGAAGAAGATAAAATCAACTGAGCTTTTCTTTCAAAGATTATCAAAAATATGAAACCATTTTCTAGTTGATCAAAAAAAAAAAATCAAAAATCAAATAGACCAGTCTTGGATTTCCCTAAAATAAAATGTCTGTTTAAAATGTTAATTGTCAAAGACTTTTCTAATACTGAAACATGGCAGTTTCATTTTCTTGTACCATGATCTTATTCCCGTTTGGTATAGTTGGGTGGACATACTTTAGTACACATTGAGTTACAATAGTAATTTAAGTCGCTGTTTCCCACTGTGGGGACTCGAACATATTGTATTTGGTAATCTGATTTTGATTTTTTCTTTACTACATCAACTAATTTCAATCGATTTCCAGCAACAAACATTTGTGATGATGATACAAAAGAACATGTCTGTACTCTCAGCTGTAATGGAAAAGATTTTAATATGGTTGTATCTCCAGTAACCAATCCTGAAGCTCCGACTACAACAAACCCGGGTCCTTTGGTATCAGATTTCAGTATGTATTGCAATAATTACTTGTTAAACTCATACTTGAAAACGTTATACAACCAACGAGCAATTCGGTGACATGTTAAACAGGATTCGATATGTTAAATTCCTCCCTTGTACCAACATAATCTCGGAGGTTATGATACAATTTCGATAAATAATGTTTAGTTATTGTCCAAGTATTGTATAAATCAGGTCAAATTGGATTGGACTATAATCTTCCATGAGCTATTCAAGACAAAACAAGGATGAATATAGTTAGGAGACCAAGACCATAACCTTATAAGGGTATAAATCTACAGAAATTACTCTTGCAAGTTATCGAATGTTGGTAAGAATGTAAGGATACAATAGCTAAACAAACCCCTATGGCTATCTACAGAGATACCATATTTCAATTAATGATGCCCATTTCTTTTATCTGTCTAGAATGCGATTCCTTTTATGGCAAATGCTATCACGCAGGATGTCCTTCACATTTAACTTTAGTTGATGTTTGTGAAACAAGCGGTTATTTTTGTTGTGAGTATTCATTAAATTATAGATTACAATTTCTTCACAATTGAAGGCAATGTGTAGTGCAATGTCCTTTTGTATAGAGTAGTGTCATATTGTATAGAGTAGTGTCATATTGTATAGAGTAGTGTCATACTGTATAGAGTAGGGACATCTTGTACAGAAAACAATTACCACATGGTATAGAGTAGTATCATATTGTATAGAAGAAAATGAAAATAGTTCCATATTGTAATTTTATTTTTTATACTACGATGTTTGAATCAAATATATATGTATACCATGCAATGTCTTATTGTATATAGAAGTGTGCCATAGGAGACTATGCAACAAATGTATATGTGTGTAAAGCGATGTCATATTTCTTGGCATCTTCGCATCAGAATGTTTTCAGATTTATGCGAAAAAAAAAAAATACGTGAAAGAAATATAAAAATAAAATAAGCGAAATATCATTGGCTCTATTTTGATTTAAATCTGAACATCTAAATCTGAAGGTCTCGTGATAGCTTCAACATATTTCTCTAATTTGTGATTTGTTGAAAAAATATTTTGTGCTTTCTACAATTTTGAACTGCGTATTTTTGTATTTTTTTTTCAGGCAACTGAAAACGGTTCAAGAAGAGAACATACTTGTCGTAAATTTTAGATTATTATGCAAAACTAAATGTAATACTTGAATAAAGCTTTATTGAAAATTTCTATTTATTCCATGGTGAAAGGTGTTAAGCGCTTCAGAATTGATATGGCAAAGATTGATACTTATCCCATCGGAAGTGATGGAACAGGACCCCATTTATGGGATGTATTGAGGTCCACAGACATGGATAGCTCGAAGAAAAGTATGCAAATTTTGATACGCTTTTGTAAACACTTTTTTTAGTGGTGCCCACTACAACTGTGACGTAATGGGGGTAAATCCAAACTATCAAGGTTAAGATTTCCAATGCATTCCATTGTTGAAGCTCAATAGCTACAAGCCGCCCCGGGGTCTAAGGTTTTCCCACCAGCAGACTGATATAACAGAGCTCAGTGCTTGAACGCCTCAAATGTTTTCAAACAACAACCAATAAAATCTTTGGAATAATAATAAATAAACTTTTTAAACCTCACTAATCTAACACTGTGCAAGTCTATTCTGGCATTATACTATCAATGTGTATCATACTATCTCCTCTTGTAGGAAAACATTAAAATCAGTATCGGGAAAACATGCAGGAAACTTCTCAGATCTTTAAAGTACACGCATTATAGTTGACTTAAATTTGCCTTAAGGTTATACAAAACTTTTGTCATAATTTGCCAGGAATCCAATTTAAATAATTAATTTTACTTAATGTTATGTACTGTTGTTATCCGTAACAGCGTTGATTCTTTTTTTTCTATTTGATGGTGGTAAATGTATTTGACGCTATAAGTGAATTTGGCAACCTTAATTAAGGGTTTTCAACTAAATGCTTTCAGTGAAATTCAGTGAATGTCTATATTTAACCGGACACTTTATTGACTGTAATACTGCTCTTTTCAACATTAAAAAAAATATACTCTTTTTCATTTTTTCTCATTTTTCGCGTTATTGTTTTTACTGGCAATTGGGGTCTCATCTCCATCAAATGAAATTTTCAAGAATTTCATTTCAACAAAACACACAGTTTAAAGACACAAACTGTATAAACACAATAAGCATAAAACACTAATGGAATTGTGCATCATTTGTCTTAATTTGCAATTCGCTTTGACTGTCTAGCTGTATCACGATGTAAATGCTCTAAAACTAGCGATCCAAAATAACACATTTTGTGTCCTACCCTAACGGTCATCATATTGCATCTGTATATCACGTCTGGGGAACTGGCTAAGAACTTTTTTTTAGAACCGTGAAAGCACGCTTTAACCTAACTGTTTATTAAACGCGTTAATGCCTTTCTTTCAAAACCATGTGCAAGATTTAAGTTTATGTAAATTATTCTAAAACCAATCATAGTTGGGTTATTGTGCATTCGGCCAAGTTTCATACACACTTTGCTTTGTGTTCAGTCATAAAATCAAACAGTGCTTCAATTATAGAACCCAATGAACTAGATACTGTAACATAACGAGACCAGTGTAGTGTGCAAAACCAAGTCATTTATAATTAAATCTCATGCCTGGTCAAACATGGAATATAAGGTTTTTTCTTTTCATTCCATGGGAGATATTAGACGAGGAAAGCTACATTACATTAATATTTTCGATTTCTTACTGTCAAGATATCTTTGACATGAACAGCCTATAGCACACGGAACCTCTGTGTAGGGTCCCATCTGAACAACTACACGTTTTGAAGCGTCTAAAGCAACAAGCATTCTAGATTATAAAAAAATTCTGCACTGTTAAGTAGCGTAAAAGGAGCCGCGGTGGCTCAGTGAGATAGACGCTTGCTCCCTAACCAGATAGTCCAGGGTTCAATCCCTGCATAGGTCGTAACAACACTTTCAGTTTTTATCAAATTTTCAAAAAACTTATTTGTAAAACCAAGTCTAAGAAAGCCTGCGAATTGACAGAAGAAGTAGATGTCCGCTTAGCAGCTGATCTGGACTGTGATAAAAAAAAACTACCACTACAACAGCTCCGACCACAACAGCAGCTTCGACCACATCGGCAGCCGAATACAACAATTATTGCACTATATTTTGGCCTTATTACTAGTTGAGATTGGTCAATTATTACAAGGTCAATGGAAAAGATTTCAAAAGTATGGTGGTCTGATCGAAATTAAGAGTACTAGAGGTAAAAAAATTCATTAATAAAAATTACCAATTTTAATTCCAAGGGAATGAATGAATGAATGAATGAATGAATGAATGACTTAGTAATGAATAAATACTATAGCTTGTTTAACATAGACTTATAGAGATTCTCAATAAATTCGTTCTTCCTGTTCTCACCAGTCCACGTTAATCTCGTATTCTTATTATAGATATTTTTCAATAAATATGGAAGTTTCCGCACTAAAACACGCTCTTTGAGTATCATTAATATAGGTTTCTTTTCTAACCACGCAATATTCATTTCAAATTTGCACCATTGGCTGTCCATAAACTTCTCAGAAATGATGAGTATAATCATTGAGCTGGCTAAAACACTACGAACTATAGCCTCTTCAATTGGCTCTCCTACTCTGAAATCACGATCATTGATGCAAAGAAGTCCTTCCGATCGCGACATATCAACCTCCAGACGGCGCTCTATTTCCGGTCTAATATGGCGGAGAACGAATTCACTGTCATGGTGGCTATAGCACATGAAAGCCACGTACTTTGGTGGTTCGCCGCCTTTATACTTCTTAATTTTCCTTTGCATGAGTAAGGTTTTGAATTTTTTAACGATAAAAAAACAAAGAATGATAAATAAAATACATAAACACAAAACCAGACTAGTAACCATTGCAATCTCCTCGGCGGTCATATCACATGTTTTTAAAATGGCGCTTTCCTCCAGCCTCGAAACAAAAACGAGTTCACCATTTAATTCACAAGTATAATTATGATAACCAACTAGCGACGCGTTCGTGGTTTTCATCCATAATATGAACGGTATGTTTTGACATTGACACTGAAACACATTGTTCGATAAGTCAACGGTGAACTTTGACAAATCAAATGGCGGAACATCCTCAGATATCTGAAAATGGGGTGTGTTCGAATCATTAGCCGAAAGTTCCACAAGTTGATCAAGTAGGTATCGAGTATTTTCATCTATGGTCTTCAATGAATTGTTGGATAAATCAACATGGCGAAGAAAGGGTAAGGGACGCAACTCTAGTTTAAAGTCCTGTAGACTATTTCCAGCTAAATTAATACTGATTAAGTGAGTATTGTTAGTAAACATATCAAAAGGTAAGTTGTGAAGATTGTTCTGAGATAGATCAAAGTGCTGAAGATATCGATTGGCTCGAACTAAATCACTGAACTCAGACAAATTTTCCATTTTGTAGAATCTGTTACCACTGAAATTTAGAACTTCGACCATGGGTTCATATACCATGAATTCCTTCATGTATTCGATGTTATTATCTGACATATCCAGATACCTCAGAAGTTCTGCTCCTCGAATACTTCCGTTAAACAATCTATAGTTATTATTGTTAATCCAGCATTTTGTCATATTGTTTGGTGAAAGACATTTTCTGATAGACGGCGACTCGGCAGACGACCATTTGATATGATGAAAATAAAACAGACGTAGGGATTCAGCAAGTGGAAAACAGGACGAAGCACTACCGAAATCCTTCCGACAAGTAGAAAGAGTTTGATCAATTTCATTCTTAAACTGTGCAACTTCGGGATTTTTGTCATATCTGAAATCTTTGACTTTGAAAAATGGATCTGGCATTTTCCAAAAACTTATATCAAACACATATAATTTCTTCAGCAAAGATATTTGACATAAGATACGCATGTCGATAGTCATGTGATTATGGGATACATTGAATACTTCCATTTTCGGTAAAAACACACTTAATCCAGGTTCAATGTTAAATAGATTCACTGACGACATATCTAGTGTTTTTATTGGGGAATGTCGCAGTTTAACGAAGTGTCTTTTAGAGAATATGATCTGTTGCCTTGGTAACTTATTACAGGAACTGATATTGAGTACTTCCAATTGCGTGTTGTTGGAACTTATGGAATTAAAAATGGTGTCAAATTCCAGTTTGGCATTTTTACTAAGATCTAAGGATCGAAGATTCGGAAGAGCGCCGAACAAGCCTGTATCTAGATGCCGTAAACCCGACAGTTTCAAACTCAACACTTGTATACTGGATAACCACTGTATCGTCTCGATTGTCAAGTTTAAAATTGGCGCATTGTTTTCAAATGTGAATGACGTCACATGGCGCCATTTTCTTTGATTTAGAACCAAGGACGGCCATTCCAGATATGGGTTATTTTTTATCACGACTGTGTCCGTTTTTGCGGGGATTACGGATGGAATGGAAGTTAAGTTGACATGAGAACAATGTACTGTTATGGTTCCCGATGGTTTCTTTAGACACCTGCAATGTTCAGGACAGTTTTTTGATTGGGCAATAGCAACAAATATGACGGTCAAGACCAGAAATGTGCTTATGTCCATTGTCATGTCTGTCGTTCTGTAGTCTTGAGCATCAGCCACCACATTACCATTCTCTTAAATTGTTTCTGAAAAAGAAAGAGTATATATTCATTCAGAATGAAATGACAACCCGTTGTGTTTATTACAACATATTTTGTTTGCCGTGACAAAACGTACAAATGTGTATGTTAGCCTCAATTTCTGTTCTTTCCCATGTGCATTAGATATAACTTTTTTTTCACTTTAATTGTTGAAATATGTACGTACACTTTAGCCACGCTTAAAAATTGCGTCAATGGGAAGACCACCTACCAATAAACCCACATGACGTAACCCGCCTACCAATAAACCCACATGACGTAACCCGCCTACCAATGAAAACACATGAAGTAACAACGACCACCTACCAATAAAAACATATGACGTAACAACGACCACCTACCAATAAACCACATGACGTAACAACGACCACCCACCAATAAAAACACATGACGTAACAACGACCACCTACCAATAAAAACACATGACGTAACATGTATATTTCGAAAATTATACCTACTGCCCCATACTTTCAATCCATTTTTCAGAAGAAAAATACCAAATACATCAAAATACATCAGCCAAATTTCTGACCGATCTACCTCCGTTCAGGGAATATAACTATAAAATACTTCAATAATTATTTATAATCGAGAAAAGCTATAACAAATTTTAATGTATTATTATTTTTCCTTAATCTCAAAGAAATGTCACAACTGAACTACACCTGATTCCAATTATAGAAAACACACGATAACAACTTTATTTTCAAAAAAAAGATAACTTCCGTATTTCTTAGAAACGGTTAATAAATAAAAAAAATTATCTATTTATGGTATTTGATTTAGATAAAGGATTTGTCATAAATCAGCCACAATGAAAACATGACATTGTCAATCTGTCGTGCAATCAGACCTGCGTCCAGGTGGAAAAGCGCATCATTTCATTGTTCTATAAACCGCTACCTTCAAAAAAAGGTTCAAAATTAAAGGATTGTAAAGAGGTTTTCTCAATTTTGTATGTGTATCGGATAGCATCAATTTGCGTCATTCCAATTTCCAAACAGATGTCACCAATATTCAAATATGCTGTTATCACATTGGGACTTTGGGATTAGTGACGTCATGATGTGGAATTAGTGGAATTGCAGGAACTACAAACATCTGATTGAAAATTGATGCTATCAGTGTCCCAGATACACATAAATTTGCTAGAAAACCTCTTTACAATCCCTTAAAATCCCCCAAACATAAGACAACCCCGCCCAACCATTCCACAGTTTGAATTATGAATTTGACCTCAATATAGAATTTCTCAGTTAAAGATTTAGGGGGAATTTCAGTATTGACACAGTTTCAGTTTTAACTTCTGTGTGAATTTTGTTTGAAAGTACACAGTGCACTCAATATAACTGATAGTGGTAGACAAATGTCAAGAGGAAAGTTGTTTCTTTATTTAGATGTGTATATTCATTGCACACAATATATGTCAATCCAAACGGAGGTCAAGTTATCAGAATAGTGTTTGTTCTGGTCGAAGAACAACAACATTCATTTAAAGATGGGTTCCCTTATTTTCATTTATGAAAATAAGAATGCTAATACTTCTATGAATAGAAAGTAGAGGTGTTTCAATGACTTGGAAAAATACCAGTTTGTCTCACATGTCCATAATTAATTCATAATTAGTTAAATTAGAAGAGAATTACCCACAGAAATCCAATTAGTGACCGATCTAGAAAGGTCAAATATTTTTGTTTTTGTTTATCCAGACTGTAAATATATACATGGACATTTATGATTGGTTAAAACTCCTAATTATATGCAATAAGAACAAAATGATATGATCAAGAATACATAATTCATTAGAAACACCAATTAATCAAATAGTTTGCTTAATTTGACACTAAAAAATAAGGAAATCCATATTTAAAAATCTTTAACTAATAATTCATAGGCCCAACTGCCAAATAACTGGGTTTGGTAACTAACAATAATTATGTTGGTTACAGATCACTATTCCTCAGAATATACGATAAAATATTTTAATAACACTTCATGGACTACTGTGAACAATTACTGCTTTATTAAAACAGTGCGACTTTCGACGATGATAATTTCATGGTGATGGTTTGCCATCAGCTCGATAAAGACGAGAGTACCATCATCGAAACGTCGCATGTTTTAAAAAAAAAAACAATTGTTATTCATTAAGTTTTCTGTATTGGCATAATTCAATAACCAAATGCCACTAAATACTTACGTGTGGATAATCCAACCAAATCCTCTCGATAATAGAAAAATCGGACAATGAGCTTCAATCGTCTTATCGCCTTCTGGTTAATGAATAAACATTACCTAAAACTAACTAAAGTTCAGACATTCCTAATTCGTGATGAATTCCGGTCTTCAAGTTTAAACTGACCTGTAAAATAGTTCAAAGTTCAAATTATTAAAAACAATGAAATGAGTTCAACAATGTGTCGTTGTTGAAAAAAGGTTAAGTTAATTGAACGCCAATCCTTTTACTGGTTGCAGTTTGTAACGGCAGTTAGACGTCGTAGATTCGAATCCCGCCTTCGAGAAAACATCAATTTATGTTGACACGGACGGTGCTTTCGGAAGTATGGCGGGTGTCAGTGTTGGTACTTTCAAAAGCTTAACATAACACATTGGCAAAAAATATCTTTACGAAGTTTTGACAAAAGACAAGTCAGTCGTAATTTATCCTTCATAACGACCACCTCGAGTAGGTTTAGGGTTGCCCCCATTACAATAAGACACTTCTTATAGGACAATCTGACCACAGAGGATAGTCAATATAACAAGCGCAGTTTTCTGTAGCTATGAGCATCCATATTAGATTTTTTCAATCATTAATGAAAACATCGTTATAATTACAAAATACATTTAACAAACATTTTCAAAAAATTACACATTCAAAAACACAATCCAGTGCCAAATTCCTATTCTCTCAAAGGCTGCTAGTCGGACATGATATTTCGTATGGGAATGGCTGTGTGCTTTCAATCATAGGAGAATATTGGCCCAGGCCGTGTTAAGAAAGCGTCAGATATTGCTATTGTCGCCAATAATCACCATTGAGATCGCCACGGAATCGAGAATGTCTTTAGACGTCGTACCGTCTCTTTGAACGCAATACAAGTGAAATACAACAAGCCCATAGATTTATTAGGATCGCATATG